TTTTTTTTCTTTTTAAACTGATTTTCTTCCAAAAAAGAATAGCTTCCTTTTAGCGCGGGCAGTGATTTGGAATTCCAGCAACGGGGCTCAGGGTCGATCACTCCGATCATTACGGTATTTTCCTTCAGCCCGAATTCCTGGGTCGTACTGACGATCGTCGGAGTATTTTGGTTTTGCATGGACACGTACTTTAGATAGTATCGACACTACGGTACCTACGTGCACGACTGTAATCAGATACTGTAGGAGCAAGCTCACCATTTACTGGTGTATAAGAACTGAACCGTGGTTGAATTTGTTGATGGTTATCTCCGTTGAGGGGAAGAACCAGCGGGAGGAGGAGTTTGGTTCGTACAATACCGTGCCTTCTGTACTACAGGATGTACCACTAGATCCGAGACGACTGGGATCTCCTTTTCGCTCCCAGTATTCCGTACCGTATACTACATAAGTATACAGTAGGCACTGACCAAGATTACCGATTACCCATTAACCGCTAACCGTATCAACGAAATCCCTCCCCCCAAAATACGTGCTATACCAAACCATACCAGTATATTTCCGAACTGTCAGCTCCGAGATCGTGGATCGTGATCTTCTTCCCATAGCGTGTTGCTGGTGGAGCTGGGCATTTTATTTTCTTTGGACCCGTCCCCCTGGGTTGCAGATATAATTGTCGCCGTGCTGCTTGTCGGTGGCTTGCCTGCTCCATTCCAAGTTACTTGAACCTCAGCATTTCCCCTCTCCGACTTGCCAACTTTCTTATTACCTTGATATACTTCCATCCTCCGAACAAACCATCCTCTCTCTCTCTCTATCCATACGCAACCTCTCGTATACCTTGTATACAACCCTCTCTCGACCTCCTCCCTTCTCTCCCCCCTCCTCATGGCTCCCTCCCACCGCCGTGGACCTTGGGTCCCCGAAGAAGATCAACTACTCCTCCAGCTCGTGCGCGAACAAGGCCCTAACAACTGGGTGCGCATCTCTCAACACATGCACTACCGCTCCCCCAAGCAATGTCGTGAACGCTTCCACCAAAATCTAAAGCCCTCTCTCAACCGAGAGCCCATCTCCGCCGACGAGGGTCTCCTGATCGAGCGCATGGTCAATGAAATGGGCAAGCGCTGGGCCGAAATTGCCCGCCGTCTAGGAAACCGCAGCGACAACGCCGTCAAGAACTGGTGGAATGGAAGCATGAACCGCAAGCGCCGTGGCTTGTCCACCCCACCGGCCTCGCGCACTTTCAACGGTCGTATCGAGGCCCCCTTCGCCCGTGCCTCGATCGTCAGCCCGTCTCGTCCTCGCTTTGCGACTCGCCCATGGGCGGAATCTACTTCTATGGAATCGTCGGAGGCCTTCTCCCACTCTCGCCGCGAGTCCACCGTCTCCACTGCCCGTCAGCTCTCTCCCATCTATACTCTGCCTTCTATCAACCGCCCCATCGAAACGCCCTTGACTTCGCCCGCCTTTTCCGAGGCTTCTCATGCCTCTATCGAACCTCCTTCCATGGTCTCAGATCATAACTCGGTCTGCTCTTCGCCTCCTCGCACATTGCCCTCTCCTCAGCTCCTCCCCATGCCCGTGGATGTGCGTGGCCAGTATGATGTCCGCCGGCCCAGTGTTGCCTCTGTCCATGTAGTGGATGATTCCCCACCGAGCTATCCGTCCCGCTCCCTGGAGTCCCTTTCCGAAATCGCCTCTAAGCGGCGGTGGATGGAACACCAGCCGGCCATGGCATCGTGGCACCAACCGATGGATTCTCTTTCCAAGCCCTGGGAGACGACCCCCGTCGAGCCTCCCCGCGATACGCGGATGGGCGTGAACAACCTCCTCAATTAACGGGGGGGACGACTCCAGCAAAAAAAAACCTTCTATCATCTCTTTTCTCTTTACGGATCTCTTTTGTCATGACTGTACGAATCTTCTTGTCTATGTTTATGTGTTTTTATTTTTCTGTGCAATACTCTTCTCTATTCCCCCTCTCCGTCGAGCCCTCACCCCAAGTTGCTATCTGGGAAAGGCTCGCGAGTTTGTACATGTGTCAAAAAGCCCATTCCTCCCCCTCTCGCTCTCCCGTTCCTCTTTCTGACCACCCTATCTCCTTTGTACTCTTAATGTGTATTACCATGGTTCAGATCTTCAAAAAATCCGGGTGTTTTCGGTCATGTGGAGACCTGTAATTTGGGTGTTTTTCTATTCTTGTTGTTCCCTTTCTTCTCCCGTCTTGTGTGTCTCACCGATTTACGGCAAGAGTGGAGAGTGAAGAGCGGAGATTCTCAAACAAGGAGATCTTCTCATGGGTTTTGGATTTGTCTAGCATAATACCCCTGCGTATAGGAATTGACTATTTTGAGTTTATTGGAGTCTTGGTCATCTGAGCAGCATGAAGCAAGTTCGTAGGAAGTCAGACCTCAGCTACGCCCTCCTCTCTCTCCCGTCAACCAGGGTACTAAAGTCGGATTCGCTCGAATTGTACGTTAGCAAATAGTAGAGCCCCCCCTTAAGCGCATAACGAATCAGACTCGCATACTACGGTCGGCGTTCTATACTGACACTACTAGTACATGTACAGTCATTTACTACGGTCACTTCCGATAGGACTTCGTCCCTAGCGCACTCGAAGAACTAAACAAGGCACATCACGCATCCCATCTCGAGTCAACCTATCAGCGTTCAAATGACCATCCCCAAATCAAGATTGGAAGGGAAACCCTTCCAAGGCCCACCGTTCACGAAGAATGCGCCACTTGGACGCTCACGAGGTCACCATGCAAGGGATAGCATCAGCATGAGGAGGAAATGGTGATGGGACTCGAGAGCAAGGCCAAGATAACGTTGAAGGTAAGTTCAAAGGCAAGAGAGTGGTACGGACTTGGGGGGAAAAAGTCCATCAAGAAGCATGAGAGGAGAGGAGAGGCCCAAGTCCATCATTCATCATTCATCATTTCATGCACGACGCCTTTTTCAAACCGCAAAGGCGGCAAGTCACCGCATCATGACAAAGTCTAAAGAAGACACAAGCAATGAAGCAAAAGTACCGTTGTTACTTTGACTCTTACACTGACTGTTCTTTCGATCTTCCCAAGAACCAGGCCAAGCCCTAAAGTTTAAACGAGAGGTTCGTCCGCGCCTGCAGCAGGCCCATCGCCTCAACGGTCCCCGTCGCCAACCACCGCTCCAATCGCAATTCATGGCCACTCCGTGTGCATCGGAGTGGCGCCCTTCCGTGGCCCCCGCCCACTGGGGGGAGGGGGGGGGGGGGAATATCCCGCACCGTCGAGCCAATCGTCATCTCCTCCTGTCAGACTGGTCACTTTTGACGGAATGAACGGCGGGGCTGGGAGTGACCCTTTGACCCTTTCGGCTTTCCAGTGTGTCCAGTGCTTCGAAGCAGGAAGGTACTGGGTAACACGGCTTGCGTGGTTACAGTTTGGCTGATTGTGGTGATGCGAGATGCTTTTTCTTGTCCTGCACACCATGAGCATTGACTACTTTGAGCATAGAACGCCCGGGGGTATGCCGGGGCTGACCACTTCTTTCTGATCGACTCCGACATCTCGAGTCCACAGGACTGGTGCTCCGTCCTCGGTTACTCTTCTGACACCCACACAACATACCAACAACGATCAGCTGCACGAACTACAACGTCCGGACTTGCGATCCGACTGGCCCGGGGAGAGACTCTGTACGGTAGTTACAGCACAAGACTGACAGGCTCCGACGGTATGTCTACCCCTCCCCAGTCCCACCCCAAGTAGACGCCACATCAACGCAGCGCAAGCGAGATCTTGGATCCCAACGACAACGTTGGGCCGTTGCCGATGCAGTGGTTCTTGTGGTTTTTTTTCCCTGGCTGGCCCCGCGGGCTGTGGGTGATGGCCCACTGTACAGTACATATGTACACTGCATCCGTTCGTCCTGAATGGGTGGCGGCACGGGTGATCGGATCCACTTTGTGCTTTTGGCGGGCGCGTTCTTGCCCTCTGCCGTGCGATCGAGATTTACTGTGGGCCATCTTAGGTAAATCTGGCAGTTCGGTTCTGTCATGTCCCGTGTGATGACGGCTGCTGCTGGGATGGTGATGACGCCCCCGGCGGTTGCATGATACATGGGATGAGGGATGATGGATTATGATGGATTATGATGGGTAGGTTTTGTGGGTGGGTGATCGTGATGCCGAGGTTCGTCGAAGGATGCACTACTGTACAAGGTACGGGATCCCCGGCACTAAAGATGCACAAAGAGGACGAACGATTTGCGAAATGATGAGTACAGGACGACCGAGGCCGCCTATCAGGATGGGAGGACGCTGTTACAAGCTGATAAAGTGCTCGCGACATCTACAGAGTTGGTCCATGAGTAGCTGGACCATTGATACCAGCCGCGATCATGAGATCGCTTCCAGTCATTAGCCACTGGGATCAGCCAGCCATCATCCCAGAAAGCAAATCATCCCCTGAAGTGTGGCCCTGAAGGATAATCTCCCCGAACAAGTGCGAGATGAACCCCCCCCTGACGAATGGCTCTCAGTGCACGAGGTGAAATGATGCCCATACATGATATGAAATCAGACGGTCGAATCAGGGACCCCGAATCACCCTCGAGTGTGATCACCAGAGGCACGGCAATCAATCGTCGAGAGCAGATCCTAGGCTTTCAGGTCACCAACAAGCCCTGGCAACATCCCAGCAGCACCAGTCTCTGCCTAGTTCTCCAGAGGGGGGATGGTTCCAACTCCGTGCCTCATAGGAGTGCTGTAGCCTGTGAGCACTGAGCAGCATGTCGATCTCGATGGGTCAAAACGAGGCACGACCGGCTCCAGACTAGTCGCGGAAACGGTTAGAGGCAGCTGTCGGTGCTTGGGAATTTGGAATTGTGGTAATTATCCGGTATTACGGGACGTGCATCAGATAAAAGAAAATAGAATGGAAAAATGGATAAGTCAACAAAGAAACTACGCCGATGGACCGGTGGATCCGGACGGGAAGAGGAAGAGAGTCCAAGAGAAGAGAAAATCCGGGAAATTCAAGAAACCCAAGAATCCCAAGAACCGGTGAAAGAAGTTCTTGGGATTTCCCCCCCCCCCCCCCCCCCCTAGTCTGGTTCCGTCAAACAAAGAACAAGAAGAAGATCCATCCAGGACCAGGACCTAAAAGAACCCTCAAGGTCCCAGTACCATGTTTGACCAACACCAACCGTTCAGCCTTTCATGGCAGTTTGTACGGCGTAGTTTCCTAAAGTTTCCTGAAGTTCCCACGAGAGTGGAACCATTGCCCCCCTCTTCCTCCCGGACTATCAAGTCATATGGACAAAAACTCGTATATACCCTGTCAATAAACGGGACAATCAAGAAGAACAAACATTTAAACAAAGGGAGGAGGAAAAAAAACCCCCCCTTTCTGTTTCCCTTCTTGCTTCCCCCCTTCCAAATCCCCATTTCCTGGCACTTTGACCCCCGTCCAGTACCCAGATCTGTTCGAAAATTCATTCCCAATCTATACTGAATCCGGAGTAGAGTTTGGCGGCGGCCACTAGTTCCTGAACCTGCCAGGACCAACTCCCGGCTCCTGCGCGCGATGACGGGCAAACGGGTGCCAAGGCGATCGGTATCTGATTACTGACTGTACCCGTGTACAGTACTGCGTACCATGGTTCCCCCCATCACCGTTAGATCGGTACCACAGGACTTGATAATCAGACCACTCAACCATGGACGGCCAACAGAGGGATCAGGGGTAAGTGCAATCTGATCTTCTCCATTTTTTGCTCAAACCCGTTCGGTTCAGCAAAGATGATCGAGATCGGAATCCTCTTTGGGGAGAAAGCCATGACGATGATGCAAGAATGAGGGGCTTTGTATACTCCGTACCCAGGTAATCCGTACCGGTATGTCTGTACCGTTAATGCATACTGTACGTACAGTATCACATACGATAACGTACGGTAATCCCGTTACTCGGTATCGACCGTTGTTCCAAGCCACCGGATCCTGTGATCGACGTCGCTGCTCCCCCGACTCGGTCCCCTTGACGCGCGCCCTAATTTTCGGCCATGAGGAAAGAGAGTTTTCGGGGCTTCTTTTCTTGTTCGATCGTGGATCGCATCGGACTTACGAGCCACGACGTAGTATCCCGAACTCAAAAAGGATCACCATGGAGGATAGGAATACTTAGTCGAGGGTAAATCTATATCACAATATGCAGAAAGCGAGGCGGTCATATGTGGGGAAGTAATGTATGTAGGAGACGTACTGTAAACTAGTCCATTCTGATTCCCCTGAACGCCGCTGCTGGATGAAGACTTGTACTCCGTACACCCTTCCACTTTAGATGCGCATTTCCAACCACCACCATAACATAACTCAAATAGCTACGCATGGAACGATCAGCAATTCAATTAGTGGAGCGAGGAAGCTCATCGCAAAAGGTACAATAGCAACGTTCTAAGTATAACCCAAGAACAACATCACATGAGAAACGTTCGAGACCAAAAAAAAAAAAAGGGGAGGCAAATCCTCTGCGTCTCAATGTTCCTTACACACTGGTCAAATTGCGAAGCTGTGTCTTTTGCCACCGGTGACACCAACAAGCCTCGGCTAATCCAGAATAGTATAATAGTTTAATAGTGCAAAAATCACCCATCAAGGTACGTTCGATTCCCTTTCTCAGGATCCGCGTCTGTGACTGGCCTACGGAGGATCTCGGTCTCATCGTTCCCCATCGATATGCTAGTCCGAATCCACTCTAGCGCAGCAGATGTTACCCGCCTGTCGGGATGAGAGACTTTTGATCTGTAATTGTTGCAGTTGTTTGGCATGTTTATTGTATTTATTTATTTTTTTCCCCAAGGACTTCCCTTTTCGGTGGAGTCTTGTACCGTTACTATGTCCACTTTGAGAGGATAGTTGGTTTTGGTTTTTTCCGAGGGGGCGCCTGGAGTGTACGGGATATCCGAATTCCTGAGAGATCGTCTGAAAATCCCCATTTCTGTCGCAAATCTGCATTTACCGTACACGGTTACCCTCCGAGCTCGTCCACTTTGAGCCCAGTGCGCGGGCCAAGGGGGGCCAACCAGTCGGAGTAGCACTGGAGCACGGAGAGTGAGCTCGACGGCCATGATCGAGTTCAGCTCATCGTGAGCATGCCAATCAGCCCGACATCCTCGCTGGCAATTGACTCGTGAATACCGAATTCTCGAGGCTAAGGCTAAGGCTAGGGCGTAGAGACCCTTCCCCCCTCCCGCCGCCCAACTCAGGGTCCAGACGCTTCGATTCAGCCTCACGGCTCCTACTATTGACAACTATCCGTCCCAGTGTCGACACTCGCCGCCACTTCCATTTGTGGCACACCTCAAGTGAGACATTTCGACAAATGTTCAACACCCTACTCTCGCCAGCCCCAGGCCCTACAGTACAAAACCTCGCCATTCCACCGGCCCGGTGCCAGCCCACCAACGATATCCGAAACGACATGAAACCGGCGAAGCTCGGTGCGTACCATGGGTCGAATATGGGGAAAGCTTCAACTTGAAAATTTTCCAGATTGTGCGATCCCATCTTCCAGAGTGTATCCACGGTCCACATCGCGCTTACGAGTGGGCGGCACGCTCTTCGATAGGCACCGGCCCAGGACTCATTTTTGTGGCTCGCACTCGATTACGGTATCCGTCTGATGAAATAGTCTGGTGTCGAGGTGTAGAGTGTCATCTATTATTATTTACTATTGGAGCTCATTATCGTATGTGAGTGTAGGTTTAGGTTGTCGATCATGGATGATTTGTTTTCCGTGTGAACGGGTGGCTTGATCTGCTAAAAAGGTGTCTATCTCGAGTTGAATTGTATGTCCGTACCCTAGGAAAGATGGTTGATGATCTTTGGGGTCATGAGTTATACAGGGATCACCCTGCAAGACTCCGTAGCCTGGTTTGGAGACGTGTGCCAAATCTTTTGAGGAAATGTCGTTACATGCTGAAATGGTTAGTACTGGGTGACGACGATAATGAATAGCTAGGCGTTATGAAAAAAAAGTCATCGTCAAATGTAAAAAAACCTCCCGAATGAACCAGAGTTGGGTGATTGGTGATATGACGGGACGACGCACGAGGACAGTTACATCTCCTACGAGGTGTAGTCCAAATGACCGTCAATGTCCATCGCTGGAAACGAATGCATTCCCGACTTCAATGAAGCCTATCGCAACCAGATGCAAAACAAAGGTATTCTATATAGCGGCTAGGAATAAGGGATAACCTAGATTCCAAAGGCTACACTCTTCAAGTGTACACACATCCCAGCGCAGACACAGATACATGGATCTCAATTTAAAAGGAAAAGGAAGTCGCCTCCCCAAAGGACGATTCGATAAATGAAAACAAAATGAAGAATGGAAAGAGAATGTTGACCACAAGTTAGGTCAAGTGAGAAAAAAAGATCATATCAAAATCCGGTATAGATCAAAGAATTGCCAGGTAGATGTAGATGCAAACCAAATTCTCAGAAATGTCAAGTGCAGTCCAAACCAAAGAGAAAAAAAAAAGCGCTCAAGGGGTATAATTCGCTGTGTTTATCATAACCAGATATCGCCTTCTTCGCCATTCACCCATTGCGCCCACACCGCCTCGTAAGCATCTTCCAGGTCACGCACCCAGCGCGCCGTGTCAAATAGCTTGTTCTTATATCGCTGTAGAAACAGCATCTGTCGAATGTCGGCCAGTCGGCCGCGCGCGCGGCCTTCACCACCAGGCATGTATTGCAGATCCATGCACAGCCGGATTGCTTTGTTCTCATAGTCGTCGTCCGAAGACGCGATAAGCTCCTCCCGAGCACGGTGGCCCATTTCACCGCTTGGTAGTGCGCTGCTCAGGATACTGCTTGCCATCCGAGAGCACATTTTGTACTTATACCGCGGTAGCGTGAGCAGCGGAGTTCCACTCCAGAGAACGTCGGTCGCTGTTGTATGCGCATTGCATTCGGGTGTATCCAGGAAGAGATCTAGGACTTTGGCCCGCGCAATGTGCGTGTTCTTCGGTGCCACATCGGTGAAGATGATCCGAGAAGCGGTTTCTTCACCAGCCCATGCCTTGGCGGTTTCCCGAAGATTCTGCTCACCCGTCTCTGGGAACCGCAGGAGCCAGAGGACAGAGTTGGGAATGCGCGCCAAGATACGCAGCCACGTTCGAAATGTAGTGGGTTCAATCTATCGAGAAAAAAAATGTTAGCCATTTCGTTCGTCACGGAGGATATCAAACAAGAACCCACCTTGTACAGCTGATTAAAGTTCCCCAGGATGATGGTATCATCGCTCAGCTGAGGAAACAGCTCCTTGCGCATCCGCCATCGACGCATCTGCTCTTCATCCCAAGAAAGTGGTCGCTCCCCCGCATCCGGCGCACTCTGTCGGTGGTCGCAGCAAAAGAACGTATCACGGGTGAAAACTATTTTCTCACCATAGACCCAATCTTCCAGGTCCTCGCCATTGTCATCTTCGAGCATCCGGTCCTCAATCCGCGTGGTGCGCCGTCCGGGACTCAAAGTTTCCGGAGGAATGGAGAGTTGGTCAGCAAGGATGTAGTCGCACCACTCTGCGCCGAGCGTACCAGCAAATCCCATAAAGGACATGTGGATAGGTGCAGGCCGAGCGGCGAAGACCTCATTGCGTGCTCCGCGCGTGTAGCCATTCAAGTTGATCAAGATGTGGATTCCATCATCAACGATCTGCTGGACCAGTCGATCAACAGGCCATCCGCTGGCGTCATGAAAGACCGGTGCCTCCTTCTCGATCTGTTGGCGGTGGATGGACCTGTCGCTAGCAGTGGTTGCGTAGCAGTACGCCCTCACCTTGTTGGGATTGTGCAACCCGAATACGGACTGCATCAGGTGAGCTAGAGGATGGTTATTGAAGTCCGATGACACATAACCGACTCGAAGGTACGGCTTGGGAGGGGCTGGTGGTCGGTAAACGGTCGCAGGAAGCCAGGGCAACCGCAGGGTCGAGCATGAGATGCGTAGACCATTTCGCTGGGAGATCTGCCGGATTTGCTTGGCAGACAGAGGGCAAGTGAAGGTATGAAAGGGGAGTACCGTCGGGGCATTCGGAGCCGTGAGAGCTGTTGGAAGTTGAGGTCGACGGTACTTGGAAGCAGGATAGTCTTTACCATAGACATAGCGATCCTGATACCACTGCCACGTAATTGACCGAATGGCACGCTCGACCAGACGGACAATACGGGACCCTTCCCATTTCTTGCCAGCCCAAGACTGAAGAACCTTGGCCAGGGACAACATGCGATTAGATCCCAGTCGACCGGAATCCAGCGCAGTGGCCAATTGAGCAACGAGCTGCTCGGCCGTGGTTGGAGTCAGTAGTCCCCGGCCCCAGTATTCCCCTTCACGCAATTGCCGGTCAACGATATCGACGACTCTCTTGATCCAGCCAGCGCCCGAGTCACTGCTATGAGCATCACGAAGCATGCCCTTTTCGTCCACGTGCCAGCGATCACGGAAGCCACGACTATTAATAATGCCACCACGGCCGACCCAGTTGCACACCGAGTTCAACGCATTAGCCAGACCGCATACTGCCTCGGCAAAATCGGGATTGACCTTGACAGCGCGCTTATAATAAGATATGGCGTCGTTGACACGGCCAGCATCTTTGACGGCATTGGCCAGGTTGGCCAATGCGATGTCAAAGTTACCATCGCACTGAACGGCTTGCTCATACATTTTGATAGCAGCTTGGAGTTGGCCAATGTCCTTGAGAAGACTGCCCAGGTTGGTATACAGGTGAGCATGGCGAGAGTCGAGGTGCAGTCCGTAGTTATAGTATGCCAATGCCAATGAGATACCACTGCCGGGTACAACGCCGGGTATGTCAGGGTGCTGGCTCTCGCCGTTGGGACGGATCAACCCCCGAGCTGGTGGGTTGTTTTGAATTCCAGCCAGCAGGATGCCAACATTGTTGGCGGTAGATGGGCTCGGTTGCAAGGAGAGAGACAGGTAGTAAAGAGCGAGGATATCCCGCACGCCAGGTGCAGACTTGGGGGCTCCAGAGGAAACAGTGGACATTCCATCCTGATAAATCTTCGCCAGGGAAAGGAGCGAGTTGCTGGTAGTCGACACGGCAGCATTTCGGGATATGCCTTCTGCGACGTATTTGAGTCCAGGCGGTGTTCCACTAGACTGGAAGACGAGTTTCGAAGTCTGAAGAGCTCTGTCGGGGTACAAAAGAACACACTCCTTAGAATCTGTCTCAGGCTGTTGGTATCCATTGCTGGGTTGATGAGAAAAGGCAGCAAAGATCTGCTTGATAAGGCTCTGGATACCATGCCGCCTTCTGCCTGCAGCAATCAAAACGGCATCCTCGAAAGCAGATGCAGCTCCCGCATTATCACCAAGGGCATACAACATATTCCCCTTGGCATGAACGAGAGCCAGTATTCGCCCGTTGTCTGAGCCAGGGATAGCATACCCGCTGGTCGCAAAGCCAGCAGGTGTAGACGCATCGGGGGAACCCAGGTTTAGGCCATGGACCCGCCCCATATCATCATCGTAGTCGAACGATGCCTTATCGTACATCCCGACATCGGACACGTTGCTCTCAGCATCGCTCTCTGGCTCACTGGCATTCTCGTCCGCCTTGAAACAATCGCCATCTTTGGGATGACGAAGAGATGTTTGTACAAAATCGATGATGTTGACAGCTTCCCTGCCGCGGTGACTCGTGCACAACAGGCCGATCAAATGCTCAACGGCCTCGAAGAAACTCGGTCGTAACTTCACAGCACGTAACCAATTTTGCAGAGCTTCTTCCCGACGATCAAGCGCCAAAAGCGTTGCGGCGAGGTTGGAAATGGCTTCCACGTGACTGTCAAATATCAGTTTGAACCTCGAAGCTGGGTTGAAAAGGGAACAAGTATGACTCACGTCGAATCACGAGCGATAATCCTCGAGTACCACCGCATAGCTTTGTGGTAATCGCCCAATCCATAAGCCAAGCAGCCACCTAGAAGCATCCCATCAATCCATTCCCAATTACTCTCCATACAAAGATGTGAAAGCATTTCCAAAGCAGATCCCGCGTTGTTGACAGGAGAGCCTTCGTTGAACAGAGACCCCGAGGACCGAGATCCAGTTGCAGATCCTGGGAATCGAGCAGCATCTCTCATTTGCGAGTCCGAGCCTCTGTGATGATGAGAGAATTGACTCAACGATGGACGACGACCGTGGGCGCTGCTGTGTGCCAGTGACGTAGAGTTGGAATCGTTCATCCTGGGGTGAGCTAGCAGGCCAAGTTTTTGCCGTTGTAGATCATATTGGCTCGATGGATAGCTGTTGTGGCGGGGAATATCGGAGGGGTTCTGAGAGAAATCGAGGCCCGGCTGACGGGGAGGTTTTGGGTATATGGTCGGCTTCAAAAACCTGTGGCTGTGGCCATCAGCACCGCTGTTAGAGATGCTATTACGGCGAGCTTGATGAATTGTGGCAAGGAGGTCGACATAAACACCATGGGCCCAGGAGAGTATCTTCTCCTTGAACTCAATGTTCCCAGTGACCGCTGGACCTGGGCCGTGGAAACCGGGTCCTGCCGAAGGACGGCCAGTCCAATTGATGGAGTTGTTATTTGATGGAATTGTCGGAAGCCCTGACGCTGATCGATTGACGCGAGCATGGTATGGTAATTGATCCGAATGTCGTGGAGGGAATATAGGTTTCATGAGAGGATCTTGCGTGGGCAAGCCGGTAACCGATTGGCCCCAGGCGAAGGACGTATCCGGACGACTGCCCAAGGGTAGTGGTGGTTGGTTAAACCCCGGCTGATTGATGTCAAAGAAAGGTTGGCCAGTCGGATGAGGAGAGCCGAAACGCGAATCACGAATTGCTGCAGGGCGATATGGAATAAACACGCCGTCTGGCCAGTATGGGCCATATGGGCCAGTGCCCGCGGAGGCAGTCGGTCCAACACATTGCTGAAGAGTTGCAGGAAGGACGGTCGGGACATAGGCACCGTTGTGCATGATGAACCGGTGATGTCCCTGCAAAGGCAAGCTTTGATTTAAGACCGAGTCGACGCCAGGCGGGTAGTTGACAGGACGCACCCAGCTAGTGCCGTTCGCATCCTGGACGAACTCTCCGGAGGCTATCAAGTTGATACCGTCGTTTTTGAACACGGGCGGAAAGTTCATATGCTCGGAACCCAAATGGTCCACGACGGGCTGCTGCCACATATCTCCCGGTATTCCGCCGTGAGATAAGAATTGGTTCGAGTCCATCGGCGAGACCAAGATGTGCTTTGGCGCAGGTTGGATCGTAATATCACCGGGGGTACCATCGTAGCCAGCAGCTAGAGTGCCATTCGGGGTTTTCCGCCTTAGCGCATGCTCAGCCGTAGCATGTGCGTCGGAGCCAGAGGTGGTCGAATCGCGAGCATCGGGTCGTTGGACGGGTTGCGGCAGTTGGAGGCGTGATCGTAAAGATAGATTGTAGAAGGATTTGGAGGGGTCGTTCGTTGCGGGAAACACGGGGTCGTTCACTTCGTAGGGAGATTGATGTAAAGCATCGTGAGTGGGATAGGGGTGCATATGATGATGAGGATGCACCGAGGGGAAAGGCGCGACCGTCGGAAACATGTTCACCTCAACTAGACCACGAAGGGCCCCGTCTCGTTGAGATGGGTCCGGTCGGGCAGAGAGGGGCTTTCAAAATTCTCTCGCGAGCAATCAAAGTTCAGTCTGATCTCGTGGGCAATCAACAGGCATCCTTCTTGAAGCGTTTCCGACACCGCATTATGGGTACCAAGCCAGTTCTCGACGGATGGTGAACGAGAAGGAGGGGCTCACAGCCGGGCGCTGGGATACGGGCATTCACGATATCGTCATCGGGACAGCGTGTGAGGATGAGAGTCGAGTCGGTTATGGTCGTCGTCGGAGAGCGGGTCTGATAGTGGATAATGGCGGTTGATAAGAGGGCTCGAGAGGCCAGGTATTCGAATAAAGAAATATTCCAATGTTTGGGGACGCAAGGGAGCAGGGGAAGTTCAACTGGCGATCTGCTGGTGTCCGAGACGCGGTGGGCCAATAAAATGCGGGCGATCTTGGCAAGAATTGGGCGAGGATCGCAGGTGATGTAAGAAAAAAAAAGAGAGAGTTCGATAGGGAGAAGAATTTCTGAATGAGATCAGAGAGGATGGAAAAGAGGGAGGTCCTCTGTGATCTCCAGGGAGCGGGGGGGAGAAGAGGAGGATGAGATGGTGGAAAGGAAGAGAAAGTGTCGAGTGTTCGTCGAGGCCGAGAGTCGGGTGGAGTCAGTCCAACAGGTCCAACGGGTGGACGGTGTACCCGTACAGCAAAAGTAAGATGGGAAACGAGCCCCATAACTAGACGGCCCGCAAGATGAAGAAAAAAAGGATGGACGGATCGCCCGCTATTCCTTTTCCTTCTCCATCTCTAACCTCTTTTCATCGTCCTCTTTTCCGTCTCTTCACTCATCTCTCTATTCTTTTTTTTACGTCCGATTTCTTCTCTTTCCTCTCATCCTGTTCGTCGCTCTTCCTCCGTCTCTCTCTCTCTCTCTCTCTCTCTCTCTCTCTGTCACCCTCATTTCTCCTCTCCTCCTCTTTTCGCGACCACAGCTCCACCCAAGACCCACTCGATCCAACGGCTGAACCCTCCTCTGGGCTGGAGTCTCCGTCCAACAGGCTACGTCAGTGGACCATTGGTCCCGTCCGGGCGACTAGTCATGGATCGGTGACGCCCCGCCGTGATGATCGAGTCGAGCCCGTTCTCGTCCTGCGCTGGGCAAGGTGGATCCCCCTCATTGCTGCTGACTGATGACTGATGACTCCGGAGACTGGTCCCAACCAGTGTAGCTATGGAGAGTGGGCTGAACCTTCGCTTTCCATGATGCTCGGCTCCTCTCATCACATATCCAGGGCCAAGGCTACTGCTGGTGTATCCTACCACCACCGCCGCCGCCGCGCCACTACGCGCCTCCTCCTAGATCAAGCGAGAACTAACTACGATTCCGCATAGGCCTGGGGGAAGAAGCATGGGATGTCAAATTTCCTCGAGCCCCTCTCTTGTTCCACCCCCTCTCTTGAAGATCTCGTTGTCAATGAACAACAATAAATTAAAAAATTAAAAAAAAAAAAAAAAAAAAGAGGGAAACATCGATAATAAGCTGGCCATCATCACTGCAGGCAGCCTCTGACTTGCTTTCTCACTTGCTACACTCCCATGCAAGCCACCTCCTCCACCGACCGTCTCGGTTTCTCGTGTCCGGGTGACAGGCGCAACAGCCCCCCTGTTTGCCTCTTTGGCCGCCTCATCAGCCCATGATCTTTTCCTACTTGGGCCCAATTTCTGGGGTTGCTAGCAAGGATGGACCCAAAATCTCCCTCCCCCTACAACTCTGATTTCTCGAGAGTTTTCTCATCCCGAAACCCACCCAAAACGGTCGATTGCTTGTACCACGTTGATGGATATCTTCTATCTAGGACACCCTTGACCTTCTCCTCTTAAAGCCAATATGATTGACTTGCTGACGACTAATAGGCAATCAATTACTGAAATTTCTCAATCTACTCTTTTGCAGATCCCTCGTTCCAGATTGCTGGGCACAGTGCACGGTCGTACTGGGGAATTATCGAATCTTCCATACTGGTATGCCTCCAATGACTACCCACTCCACTCCTCCTGTCCTTGGCTTCCCAGCTAGACTGAAGTATCGACCAACGAGATGGGCCAGTTGTGTTGACAACGGAGACTCGTCAATGTTGCCCTCGTTGCATCCCCCAAAGGATTCTATCGTCAAGTTTTTCCTCATAGTTGCTTTGTTCTTTGTTGTAGTATATCAAAAATGCATCGCCCACCCCCATGTCTCCAGCCGCAGCGATCGGCAAACTCACCCTCCCCACCACGGCATCCTTGGCCTGCACAACGTCCAAATGGCATGCGGGTCGGGTGGCACAGGATGTATGGGAGCTTATCCACCGTTTACATTTCATCCACCCCCGTCAAGACAGTCTAGAGTGCTTACCGGTTTTGAAGTGGACTCAATTTCCACGGTGTCCTCCATATTCCACACTAGTAACAACAGTTAATATACGAAGCTCTCGCTAAAAGCAACAAAATCAAGGTAGTCATCGATTGCGAAAGATTATATAACGATACCCCGTTAAAGAGGAAGACAACTCCAACCCGTTTACGGGCGCGGTCAATCCCTACAGTATACTAATCTCAATAATATCATCCGCCATTTCCCGGTGGAATCAACGAGAAGCAACCCAGTACGAAATCAATGTATCCATGATAATGTAATTCAAGAATCCATAAAAATAACAACAGTCCCTAAAGCCCTAAAAAGATGATCAAATTTAATATTGACCCGCTCCTCATTTGCCCATCAAATAATCCCCGACCTCTCCATCCATAATCTAGGACTCCGTACTCCGTACATCCCACCCAAGGAATACCCGTGCACGACCGCTCCAGTCGCATGCAACTCCCGCGCTCGATTCCCCACCCACCCCCGACGCTCCCAGACTCCCAAGTGGATGAAGCCAACACCACCGCCTTATCAGGGGTGACCAACCAGTAGTGATCGGCGAGGGGCTGGGTGGAGTCGGTCTTGGGCCTCTGGGGGCCAGCGCCTGCATTAGCTGCATGGTCCATCGGTTTCGGTGGTCTCGGTGTGATGCTGACGATCCACTCGACCAACCAACCGTGGTCAGATAGACCGACGAGGAGTAAAGGAATCTGCGTTGTGGATGGAAAACATCCTCTGTACGGAGGACGGTTAACACGGCCGTGACATGGTCGGCACACTGGGCACGGCCTGCTTAGAGGAGGGACCTGTGTCCTAGGGACGTGGTGCCTACGGAAACGCGACACGTTGCTCGAGGCTGTTTGTCGTGCGACTCACAGGTGTCGGTGGCCGAGTCAGAGTGTGATGGAATGGCCGTTGGTATATATTTCAGGGTCTCGGATTTCTAAGTGGAACTAGGGACCTGCTGGTTTAGTCTGGAATTGTCGGTGATGGCGTAAACAAGCTCATCGCCATATGGCGGTGGGGGAGCGGATTCGCCGTGTGGGCAGAGAATATATTTAGTCAAGTTACAAAAGAAAGTGGGTTTAGAAATCTAGAAATCTACTCCCAGTTCATCTTGCGACGCATCAGTTAAAGCTGCATGGTTTCTGTATGTTGGTGATCACTGCCGGGAGTTGGGCAAATAGGAAGGTTAGAGCAAGGGACAGTAAATGAAATCAAATAGACCGGCCGTGCCGAGATATGTAGTCTGAGATCATACTTGAAGTAGGCTATCTGTTTATATATATCTCACGCACGTTGCCTGCATGCAGAAGTACCGGAAATATGCGGACATCCGACAGCCTCACTCGAAACAAGGCCACCTACAGGTTAGTGGTACGCTATGGGAGTTAATCATTAAACTTCAATTGGGACATGACTATGGCTTGAAGAGGCTCGTAAATGGATCCGGTGAAACGTGATGTCGTACTCTGCCACGAAGTCCATAGAGGAACGGACTGAAATTGATGTGGCCCCCTTTCTAAGTGGTATTGACCTTGGTACTCGTGGAATCGTCTACATAAACATAAATTGTCGTATGTATATTACACAACGCCTGTCGACGCTGGATTTCCGACCAAAGCAGTACAATAGAAAATATGAGATGGCAAAAAAATGTTCATTTGGACAATCAAAGGCTTACGACTACGAAACTAGAACCAACAAGTTCTTGGTATAGAGATGTAGACCACAAATATGGACCACTGTAACCACAGCGACATAAATGCCACCAAGTTACCGCGGTGAGTAGCGGGTCGGTTGCTCTTCGTTACTTAAAATAAGCGTAAACCACATCGGAATAATGCCCAAACCCCGCAGGGAGAGGACGGTAAGCGCCAGAGTGTTGTAACGGTTCCCGGGAGGGAGACTCAGAGATAGGACGATGAAAGGTCCAATTGCACCATGCAGTGACGAATATGCCTTCCGACATCCTCATCGCCAAGGGGGGATGAAACGAGAGGAAGCAGAAGGTTAGATGGAGAAAGGGAGAAGAGGATCTATACGAACGAGAAAGGAGAGCGCGGGCGATCGAACTGTTCATTCGGATGCTCGCAAAAAGAGAGAACGAAGAAAACAAGGTATCAGGTCATAGCTCATGAAATGGTATGTCTTTTTTGGGGTTGAGGCAACGATCGTAATCTGCAACTAGCTCCGCATCTTTCAGCTGGTGTGCTTGTTGTTACAAGAGTAGATAGTGTCCTCCTCTTTTCCGTTCAAGAGAGTAATTTACTCCTCAGGAACTATATAAACGTCAGTAACAGATCTTCAAGACTCTTGATAAAGTCTCGATAGGAAAACTCACCGTCAATCTCGCCAGCCTTGACGTCATCAGAGACATCCTTGGGGCTGCGGCCATCGACCTGGCAGCCGACGGAGAAAGCAGTACCGAGGATCTCGAGGACAACACCCTGGAGAGACTTGGCCATGGAGCGGTGCTTCATCTGGCGGGCGATCTCAACGATGTCATCGAAGGGGATGGACTTGGTGTGCTTGATGTTCTTCTCCTTCTTGCGGTCACGAGGGGGCTCCTTGAGGGCCTTGATGACCAGGGAAGAGGCGGAGGGAACGACAGAGACAGCAGCCTGACGGTTCTGGATAGTGAGCTTGACAGTCACACGGAGACCCTTCCAGTCACCAGTGTTCTTGGCAATGTCTTCACCGATCTTCTTGGGAGACAGACCCAGAGGACCGATCTTGGGGGCGAGCGCAGACTGGGCGCCAACCTCACCACCAGTCACACGCAGGTGAATGACCTTCACCTCATTGGGATCGAACTTGGGAGCTACAGAGAAATAGAGAGATTAGTCGCCATTGTAGAAATGACCCAGGTGATGATACTTACGCATGGCGAGTGCGAAAGGTAGTCAATCTGCCTTGGGTTGTCGAAAGGGTGGATGAAGAAGGAAAGAAAAGTTCCTCTTCGATTTTGAGAAAAGTTGTCAAGAGCTGCTGGGATCCACACGGGCGGCTAGTCTAAGCGAGTGGGCCAACTAGTGAAAAGGGCAAAGCCCTACCACGTGATCAAAGACAGACACTTGCCCGTTTGGGGAATGTGCTGATTATGTATTGATTACCTCGGCTGATGATTCTATGTACAGTACAGGATATTTGGTCTATTACAAAATGGTCATACAAATGCCTTGGCATCATTCATTCAATCTACTAGGGACTATATTGAAGAAGTGAAAAGAAAAAAAGGAGCTAAATCACCGCTAAAGATACACATGACCCCTAAGGCCGATGTAAGACCGCCCGTTGCTTCTCATGGCTTATCGTCTCGTTCCATATTAGCTCGTACCGGACACGGCCAGCCTAGCAATTTAGTCAGTAATTTGAAACATAAGGCCCCATCGGGTGGAGATTTCAATACTCACTTCATCAGGTGATCCATGAACGTCTGTAGCGAGACGTCATCAGTGAAGATGGTCTGCGAGGAAACACCACCGCCGTATCCACCGGTAGTGTGCGTGGTGGACGGATTCAGCTTGGACAAAAGGAAACGAGCTTGAGAGCCACCGGCGTCACAAACAATGAATCGGGGCAGAGGGAAACGGTCGGAAATGAGTTCCTGGAACTGATTTTAGAGGGGAATTGAATACCTGTAGGTAGAGAGAATATAAACGTACCCTGGCATCCTCTTTGGGCTGCTCCAGGAGCGCCTTGAGGTTCTCGTAGCCCTCTTGGTCCTGGTAGCCGGCCTTGCGCCATTCGGCGATCGTCTCACCATGGAAGATAAGGATGTGGAAGAAAGTGTCGAGAAGGAGGATGTGCGCGGGCTGGATGGAGGCAGAGTCCAGGAGAACGGGCTGGCTACCTTCCTGTTCGAGAGAGTACGAGTCTAGAGTGGGCTGGATCATGACCAGCGAATCACCGGCATCCTCATGGTTCAGGACGTGACGGTAAAAAGCAGTCTCGTCAGGGGAATTGTTGAACACCTGCAAGAACTGGCTTCGTCGCAGATGGAACATGAATTGTGGGTACAAGGTGAAATTCTTCTCCAGGCGGAACGATGTTGGGTCATCCTTGCGGTAGTCGGCGAACCGAGAGCAAAGTCTGATCAACATACGGTCAACCCAGCGCAGGACATCGGGTCCATCATCAACCTCAGCCTTGAAGACGGCAATACGGGCCATCAGTACAGCAGCAGCCTCCTGATCGAAAGACTGAGCCAAGGTGGGATCACCAGCAGGACCACTGAGGGGTCGTGCGACGGTAGTCACGCGCAGGTGGTAATGCCCTGAAGAGTGCTGATAGTATGTTAAGAACTGCATCATACCCCGCTGAGGACCGGCCTGCACAGCGGCGGGGCCGCCTTGGTTGGCGATCTCGAAGTAAACACCGTAGCTCGAGGATGGGTCGATACCGCACATCTTCCAGGCGCATGTGTTACCGATACCGCATTCCGTCTCGCCAACTGAGCTGGACTTCTTGTTCAACGAAATAGCATGACCGATGAGACCGGTCACCTTGAGCTCCTTGGTGGTCAGCACTTCCAAAGAGGCATTGAAGCCCATCAGGAGGTTGTCATTGGCATCCTTGTCGAACACGCGGATGAATGACTGCTTAAATTGGGACGAGGTGAAGCTGTCCGTAAGGAGCATGTGACCGCCGGTGTAGTTGGAAAGGTTCTTCATCTCCAAAAGACCGACCTGGTCGAGACAACCGGCGAAGATATCAACGATGTGACCGTTGTTTGCAGCACGTTTCGCGAGAGCATCGTAGAACTTGACAGCCTTCTTGTAGTACTTGATGTTATCACGGTCGATGTCGTGGTGGGAACGGATTGGCTCCTTGAGCTCAGGTGAAACAACGTGGCCGGGACCCTCTGTGGCCGCACCACTCAGGAAGGCCATGATACGACCACCGGCATTTTGGAAGGAAGTCTCGAGCAAGCCAACGGCAACGCTCAGGGCGACACCAGTGCAGCGAAGGGGTCGCTTGTCGTTGGCCACGGGCCATGGGTCGCGTTGCATTTGTTCGAGGACATTGGTGATCTGGAACTCGGCCTGTTGGACGGGCAGGAGGAAGCGGGCAGCGGGGCCGAGAGGTGGACGTTGCGGTTGCTGTTGAGGGGGCATTCCAGGGCGCGGGGCGCCAGCAACGAGGCCCAGCATCTCCTGGACCTGCTTGGCGGTATAGTCCTTGTTGCCTCGGAACACGTAGGACTTGGCGCACTCGGCATAGCCAAGCTCATGCACTTGGGTCTAAAGTGCTAAAGTCAATATCCATACGCATCCAGATATCGAGTAGGGAGGGAGCCACTTCATACCATAGTGCCGTAGGTAATCAGACCCACGAGCGCATTGGGCGGCAGCAGAGACAAGCTCATGACGAGCGAGTCCCGAACCGCCTGCAGGCTGTCCTCCTCTTGGCAAGTATCGACAACGAAGACAAAGATCGGGGGAGCCGGGGCGGGGCGGGCCAATTGGTACTCGATCGTAGTGCTTGTCGGGTGGAGCTCTGGGGGTATCGTCTGCTCCGTGATATCCTTGTAGTGCGGCGGGAGAGGGTTGCGCATCAAACAAAAGGGACAGATCCAGACTCGTGCGCGGATGTCGACATTGCTAGCTTAGGGGTTAGCTCACCGCAAGATCCGGGGAAGGAGCCCCATCACCAAGCCGAAACGTACGCAAATGGATTGAGCACAGCCCGGCAGGGCTGCTTGCAAGTAACGGGCTCATATTGAAGGATTGGGGTATCTGGCTTCTCCTTGAGAGGAGTGTAAACAGCACCGATGGGGACAACCAGCCGAGAGGCTTCCTGTATCCAAGGTTAGAGGATGATGCGAGGTGGGAACGGGTAAGAGGGGTTGCCCTCAGTCCAAAACACGCACCATGCGAGAGCTCGGGAAGGTGTTCCAGCTGAGTCTGAGGCCATCGCGGTCCTCCACATCACTCCATTGATCCTTGAGCGCTTCGTAATCCATCGTGACGGTCAATGTTCAAGGTCTCGGCCCAGTGTTGACAAGGGGAGGGGGGGTTGAACGGGGTCGAGTCAAGTCGCACAAGCACCACAAGATCGGACTACCTCAAAGAAGTGTGTAAACAAAGGGAACTTCACCAGAGCATAACCCAATCCCAAATAGAAGAGCTCCGGAGTCAGCTTGGGGGGAATGTTCAAGCGCAAGGTAGAGGAGTATGTTGTGTGAGGATGCCGGTCCCAGCACTAAGGCCAGGTTGCAGCACTACTGGTCTCTCCCGCCCGCCGGACCCAAACATACAATAAATTTCGGCGCCGTCCCGCTTTTTCTTTCCTTTTCTTCTCTTCATGTTTTATTTTTACGCCGACTCAATATCACATTACTGTCGACAGCTTCCGTCATTCCATGATGAAGTTTGTTTTCGCGTCGAGCGGAGATCGACTTGACCCGTTGCTGGGCACCTGGTCTTGAAAGGTCATTCTGATCCTTTCGGATTTACTGGGAATCAGCTGTGGTCACAGACCTCCCTTAATTCTAAAGTTTCTTTTAAAAAATGCTATACGTTTGCCATTATAAAAATGCTTCTCCCTAAACTCCATCTGCAATTGTACAAATAATCTACGTTCCCAACGCCAATTGGCCCTTGGAGACCGCTGCGCACGTGCTGGCGATCGAAGGTGCCGACATAACTTCATAAAGAGAAATTTTCACATGCGAGAAGGTCAGGCCTCGCCTCGGGGCGGAGCCTTGGCCAGCGTCTTTAACAGATAACTGCGCTTGAAATAGGTGTTAGGATGGACGATCGTGTCCAGATCCGCCTGACTCCATGTCCCATCCTCCTTGACCTTCTTGATCTCGCTCTTGTGGCTCCATTCAAAGACTCGATTGCACGCAATGTGATAACGTTGCTTGCCGACGTCCTCGCGGACTCCACGGAGTACCTCCTTGTCATGAACACCGGTGGACTGAAGTAATCCAACGAGGTTATCGACAGAGAAATGGCGGTACGGGCATCCGTGTGCTTGCCCTACGCCAACGTTGTTGTCTCCCAGGATCTTTTGGCACGAGTAAGGCGGGTATCCACGACCACGACGGTTCACGTCACCACCCACATCGCCGTAGGCGTGACGAATGTTGTACTTGTATTGCGAATTGAACTCGTCATCCGTCTTTCCTTTGAAGGACTGACGCCAGAAGAGAATACACTCCTCAAGTGACAGGCCAATGCCTTTCAGGAAAAGTGTGTATTGTAGTCGTCCGAAGTGCTTCAGGTGGTTGTTCTTTCGCAAGTTGATGTGTAAACTGCGCATGCACAGGGGGAAGTGCTGGGAGAGGGAGTCAATGGAGCTAGCCGTGATCGCTGTGCCATCGACATGGCCTTCGCCTTCGGAGTAGACGGACTCGGCACTGCCAAAGTTCTTGGAGAGGTGGTTCAAGATGGGGGTCAGACGGTCGTCCTCATCCAGGCGTGGTAGTGCTCGGCTTGTGAGCTTCAATTGGTTAGCAAGGAAAGGAAGAGCATTTTAATGCACAACATACCTCCAAAGACCGCTCCAGGCGAGCAGTGAACTCGGCCATGATCATGCTCAGCTGCTCCCTGCCAGGAACAAAGGCCTTGCCATGCTTCATGTAGACAGATCGTCGCTCAACTAATTCGGCAACCTTCTCCCAATCCACTTTATACCAAGTCTCTTCATCGACACGCCGCAGGCCAGGAGTCGCGCCGATCAGGTTCTCGGCAACCTGGTTCCGTTCCTCTTCGCTCACGGGCTCCCAGTCGAGATTCAAACTGTCGATGAATGCGCGTCTCTCTCTTGAGTCATCCTTTTGGAAGCGGAATTTGAATAGCATTGTTTCGGCGCGCGCGAATCGTCGACGAAGATCCTCCGTCGCGGAGAAGGCGAGCCGGAGGATAAAATGTGAATAGTGATCCTTTTGGCGTTCATTTTTCAAGCGAGGATCGGCTGCACCATTGGGAGACGCGGTATTAGAGGAGAGAGGGAGGAATTTCTGGAGAAGAGGTGTAATGTGGGATTCGGTCTCCGTGGGGGACTTGTTGCGATAGGAGCATGCTTCGATCTCGGCCAGGACTGTCTGGTGTTAGTGGCTACTGTGAGATTTATAATCCTGCAGCTCTGCATACCCTTCAACCGATCAATAGCCCATTGCTCAAATTGCTCGAGGGTGATTTCTGCCGTGGGCGGCGTGTCGTACAGGTTCAGACGATGCGGATAGTCCTGCTGCTTGTAGGTCGGTGTAGCGAACTGTCTTTTCTTAGGGTCGATAGTTGCTCTGCGTTTGGGATCAATCCGATGCACGTCTTGTCGAATCATGATGTTGGTTATATCAAAATTGGTGAATGTTTTGCCCAAGTCCGATTTGAAGGTTATACCCGATCTCCTAGTTGTCACTCCTCACTAAATTGATGGACGCGACGCGCGCACGCGACGGGTCAAGGTCACGTGAATATCGGTGTTAGATTCTATGGCCTTGTAAATTAGGCCACAAATGGACTCGATGCTCAGGCAATTACAGTGTTAGCATGTGAGCATGTGAGAGACGTTATGCCGAAACCCCTCCGACTAATTCCATAATGGATTAAATACGCCGATAGTGATACATATTGAATGATATTGGAATATTTGATTAATCTCTTCATCTATCTGGTGTCCTCTACTATACGCAGCTCTCCGCAGTACTTTTCGTCCTCCCGTCGTTTCCCTCGGAGCTTTCCTCACCGGGGGCCGAAGAAAGCACCCGCAGTACCAACCCCACAGAATCGGGAATCGGTCATATGCGCGAGACACCTGTAGTGCTTATATCGAGCCTGTTCCGACATTCCCTCGTCCGGCATGCATCGGGAGTAGAGCGCATTTTGTTTGTCGCGTCCTTCTTTTCTAGCTTGCTCCCCATTCAATCTTGCCCTTTCTGCGGCCAAACAGGGTCCAGGAACCGGTCTCGGAGATAATTTTTTGATACCAACCTTCTATACCCGAACCACACCACCTACGAGACATTACCTGAACATGTCACACACAACAAAGCAGCTCAAGAAAGCTGCGCGCATCATTCTTGTCGGTGCGCCGGGGGTGGGAAAGGGTACACAATCAGAGCGCCTGCTGGCTCGATTTCCCCAGCTGGCCTCAATCAGCTCTGGAGACCTCCTGCGCGAGAATGTGCGCCGTAAGACGGCACTGGGTGAGTTGCGCCTATTCATCTGCTTCGATTGGTCTACCCCTTGAGGTGGGAGTAATTGCGCCTAACAGCTGCAACAGGTCTTCAAGCCGAAGCCGCAATGCAATCTGGCAATCTGGTCCCAGACTCGATGATTCTCAGCCTGATCTCCTCCGAACTGAAATCCAAGGGCTGGCTCCCTCCTCCCTCGTCATCTTCCGAACCCTCAACATCTCAGTCCTCCGCCTCGAATCCCACACTATCACCCTCCGCTTCATTTATCCTCGATGGTTTCCCCCGTACGGCGATTCAAGCAACCAGTTTGGACAGCCTAGTCCCAGTGAACTTCGTTGTGAATCTCATAACCCCACCTTCAGTCATACTCTCTCGAATTGCGTCCCGCTGGGTTCACGAGCCGTCAGGTCGGGTCTACAACACGGATTTTCACGCGCCAAAGGTGCCCGGAAAGGACGATGTTACTGGCGAGCCATTGACGCAGAGGCAGGACGATTCAATTGACACCTGGATGCAACGGCTGAGGAAGTTCGAGGAAACCAGCAGGGCTCTGCTCGAGCATTACGACCGCCGTGGCTGTCTCTGGCGTGTGGAGGGCAATTCGAGTGACGAGATATCCCCTCAATTGTTTGCGGAGGTCGAGCGCAGGTTCTGCTGAAGAGCATGACTGATGCTGAGCATAGAATTTGAATACATTGTTAATTGGGCCGCATTATACTCGGCGCGTGCTTGACAGGCTCAGGGGTGCCTCAACATTATCACCTCTTGTTATGACTCAAGACCCTCGGGTTGAACTCTTTGTACAGTTACAACTATCACCTTTGGTGTACGATATACAATACCTACAACTGGATTGAACTGAATGTTTCCCTCCCAAACCCGGAAAAGCTGCGTACATTTACAGTATAGTCATTGTTCGTCTTATCATGCACATATCAAAACATGCTCCCCAGAAGGGAGTGAGAGGTCCCGACCTCTGCGGCTATGATTTTGGTTTAGCGCCACTGTCCGAGGGCTCGCCCATTCCCATCCGTTTCTTATACTCCCTGGGGCTTTCCCAATCAGACCCAATGCGGCGATAGTCCTTCCAAAGACCCTTAGATCGTGCTTTCGCCCACCACTCTGCACGACGATACTTCCGCTCTAGTTTGTCGCCTCCAAATTCGGCGCCTACCTTGGCTTCGTATATCGTCGCTAGGCCGCGCTTCAACATTTCGTATGATACATCTCTCCGGCGGAATGGGGGAAAATCAAAGGCGCGCCTGACGGATACGCTGGCCACGACACGACTGTACTGATCCTGGCGGTAGACCGAGGCCCGGACGCGGCGGTTTTGGAGGTAGGAAGTGAGCCATTGGTGAGCTTCACGGGCAAACGGTTGCTCAGGTCGGCCAAAATGTGCGAGTTCGGGGGCATCTATGCCTGCTAAGCGGATGTGAATCTGACAGGACGGGAGAATGTGTCAGTTTGGGTGGACCAAAGAGTCGAAGCTTGTGTAAAACGACGGGGTAGACGGCCAATAAGACGAACAGTATTATCTTTCAGCTCCTTCTTGGAAGTAGGTATCTTCTTCCAAGGCAGCCAGCCCCATCCGGCAAGTCGGCCTCCCGGGGTGTGAAATATCCGGAAGTTATCGCCATCGCCAACACTCGTCACCTTGCCGAAGATGGTCCGGCGTCGGAGGAACGAGGAGGAGATGCTAGGCGCGTCGGGAATACGGCGCAAATAGCTGCGGTGAAAGCGGACCGCCAGCAAGATACCACTCGTCAATAGTACGGTCGAAATAAGTGTCCTGGACTCTGTGAAGGCGGTCCAATCCAGACTCGAGTCCGAGTTGTTTGGTGCGGGTGTGGGGTAGGATGGGGAGTTGGAGATGGGTTCCGAGCGTTGTTTGTCGTCATTGCTTGACTCGATTCTCCATGGCGGCCATCTCATGACTACCCAGAGCCCTGCTGTACGGCAGGACGCGATGTAGAGGAGGTGGGAGTTGCCCAGGTACGCGTTGGTGATTTGTCGCGGCGGAAGCTCCGAGATGCGGCCGACGATCGTTGCCGCACATACGTAATTGTAGGATGGCATTAACGACCCGACAGAAAAGTTCATGGCACGACAAGGCTAGTCCCAATGAGGAATGCCCTCCCTTCGATACAGAAGGCTCATTCGAAATACACAAGTTACCTACCGAGTCCTTCTGTCTGATTCACATTAATACTTCTCGCTAATAACGTTAGCGACTATATACGCGACCTCTATCTATTTATCCCTATGATAGACTAAGTTAATATTCTACTTCCCTTCCTACTATATCGCCCTCTTTTACGGTCTGTTTTATAGCCTTTTCTATAGTCTTTTCAATGGTTTTTTTTTCTAAAGATAGGGCTATACATCCATATGGACTCGGTAGGTAACTTGTGTATCTCGAATGTAGCCTTCTGTATTGAAGGGGGCGCATTCCTCATTTGGACTAGCCTTATCGTGCCATGAACTTTTCTGTCGTTAATACCATCCTAATTGTATACTGGACCCATCACGGGTTGCTTTCTTACGAACTTTGCATGAACAAGTGATTTACAACTAACTACTGTTATTTTTTCTACTCCAGTGGGAAATTTACTTTTGAGCATTCAGCGGAATGAGATGAGCTGCAAGCCGAACGTTTATGTACAAGTCTATCTCGAATGTCAGAGTAGAAAAAGTCGCTTTCTACTATATCAGGAGTCTCCCAAGGATCAAAGAGCCCAGAGATGTCTAGACAAAGGATCAAAAGAGCAAACAGAAAGAACAGCACGCCATAGACCGAGACATTTAAAGTGTCTTCAAAGTAACAAGTAAATGGGGACACAGAAGAAAAAGGGCGTAACTAAACAGGGGTCGTCTATTTCAGGGTGGCGGGCAGGCTGGTCTTTGCCTTGGCCGCAGCAGAGTCCACTGCCTTTCGCAGCTTCTCCTTCCTGATCCGCTGGAGGTAGGCAAATAGGAGAATGAACATGAGTTCCATCCTAGGAATATTGTTAGATGAAAGCTACAGCATTGAGATGAGGGCTGGGAAACCTACCTCTCTTTGGTCATCATCAATAGACCCTGCACCAGCAGACCCTTCGTAATCTGAGGGCCAATGCCCTTGAAAAGTGAGAGGATACCCTCGTGCTCGATAATATACTTCATGACCTCACCGAAGGTCTTGAAGGGCTTGCCCTGTCGACCTGGTGGGGGACGGGACTGCAGACCAACCTTGGCGACGATCAAAGGCTGAGTTACAATGGTTGCTAAAGCCTTGGACATGGCACCGAGGACTGCACTGTTTGTTAGCGGCTTGATATACCAATGGCACCAAAACTGGATGTTACTTACGGAAAGCCTCCCAAGGTTTGAGGTTATTCTTTCCGGGGAAAATGACCTCCTTTAGGCGCTGATAAGCTCCGTAGGTAATGGCGGGGTTGACAACCAGAATCAAACTGGCCTTGAGGCCACGCCACAGGCCGGACCAGCCGTCCTCGCTGTCAACGACCTCCCGACCGGTCTCGATCATTCCCTTCTTCTCGCCCTTGGGCTGTGTCTGCTGGCGGGTAGTGATCACTGCCACGGGAATGGTGAAGATCTGCGCGACGGCACCAGCCACCGCACCCAGAGACAGCTCGACCGCAGTGCCAGGGTTCGCGGAGCCTTTGTTGGAAGCCAAATACAGAGTGCGAACAACGCTGTACCAGTAAAAGTAGGCAAAGTTCGTCGAGGCAACTCCGAGCAGAGCGCCAGCAATGCCAGAGTACAGACCCGTAATACCCTCCTTCTCTGCAATCTTTGTGATAGCGTCCACAGTCCCGTCATAGTGTTCCACTTCGGATTGTCCTTCGGCGCCTTTCGTTTGCTTGACTTGAACCTGCAATTTCGTCTTCACCCTATCAAAAGCAAGCGGGGTCAGTAATTCTGTTCGTGCTTTAGCAGCTCGAGAGCTCCTCCGCTCGACCGGGGTAATCCTCACAGGTCCAATGGGTATACCAGCGCATTTGCCAGAACGGCGCCCGTTGCGCCCGCAACGGCGCTTCCCCACGGGGAGAGGCGTACAGGCTTGGATTGGCCAGCCATAATGTATATCGAGTTGACGCGCTTGACGACGTCTAGGAAGTAAAAAATAGGAAGAGGAGCCCGTTAAAGCGGACGCGAAGGAGAAAGCGGAGCGGGGCCTCTAACCGATGGACGCTTACTCCGGAACACGGAATAAATCAAGAACAAATGACGAGGAGGAAGGCGGGAGATTCAATCAGGGGCTCAAGAAAGAAGATCTCGGATGCATCACCAAGATACTCAATATCATAGTAACCGATATCAACCGAAAGCAAAACGGCCGAGCCTACAAGCCGGAATGGCAACAAACCGGACTGGCACAGGCGCAGGGCAAAAGCACCTCGGCGCTGCGGTGAAGCGCTGCGAGCCGAGGTCCTTTCGGAGCCCTGGTCGGCCTGACCAGCTTAGGTCAGCCTTCAGCTCCGGAGACTCTGGAGGTGCACAACAGCATATCCACCGGCGGGTTCTGAGTGAATGACTCGGATTGGAACGAGCATCTACTAATTAGCTCGTTCCGAGATTCGACCGCCCACCGGTGACTGTTCTGGTGGTGGTAGGAGAGGCCGATGGCTCCCTAGTTCAGCCTTTCGTTGCGGGGCACGTCGGCCTCCAACCACTCTTCGGCAGCAATTCCACTTGCTAGTTGAACAATCCAGCCCAGAAGATCGGCTTTCCCTGCGACTCCAGCGCAAGTGCGAGCCATGTCTAGACCCCACGGGGCTACGCTGAACTTGCATGTTTCCCAGGCGTTGGTAAATATGGCTCCCACCCACACCTTATTTTCCCAGACTGGAGACATGAAAAAGGCGGAATCGCTAATCGGCAGTTAGCAAGCCGAAGGAGCGATAGCCTCCGCCACGTCTCAAAAAGCGGCTCTGGAAGCTGCCATCAATGCCGCCGAACAATACATGAAGGCTTTGCGCCTCGCGCCAGCTAATGACAAGGTTCAACTCGATGCTAAATGCAAGGAACTCATCACCCGCGCCGAGCGGATCAAGGCGGCCGCGGACTGGCAATCAGCGGCCCGCCAAAAACCTGTCTCCAAGCTGCAACCCCCTACGTCCAAGCGCAAACTCACGACTCGTGAAGAGATTATCGTGCTGGAAGGGGCAAAGCTGAATGGCTTTATTTTTCCTCCATGGGAGCGTCCACCAGCATCGGCTGAGTTCGAACAGCCGTTCACGTACGTACAGAGTGAATGCTGTTTCGATACTTGTCTTGCCTGTCCGTTCTGTCTGACTGTTTGAACAGAGATTCTCCCGATCTACAACTATCTGGCTGTCAAAAGGAGATATTCGCTGGGTGGGAGCGCCCATCCGATTTGCTACATGCGAGAAATGTCGCAACCCAGACACAGGATGTGGAGAAGCCCGTGATGTCTGTTATGGGGACATCTGATCTTGTACAAGATGTCTTGACCGATTGCTCTGTCGTTGCTAGTCTATGTGCGACCACTTCAAGATCGGAGCGGGGATTAGGAAATGTATGTATCATGTCCTTGGAAGCATGGAGAATCGATTAGACTAACCAAATTAGCATGCTTCGCCAGCGATGTATCCCCGTGAGCGTGGCTCAGAAGAACCAGCTCTCTCACCATCGGGGAAATACATTTTTTGCTTCTACTTCAATGGCGCTTTTCGAAAAGTTGTCATAGATGACCGGTTACCATCTTCAAATACAGAACGGTCACTCCATGTGATTGACCGCAATTACTCAAACTTCTTATGGCCTGCTTTGGTTGAAAAGGCATATTTGAAAGTTCGTGGGGGCTATGATTTCCCGGGGAGTAATTCAGGAACTGATCTTTGGGTGTTGACTGGATGGATTCCCGAACAAGTCTTCCTCCACAATGAGGATGCCACGTCAGACGAGATCTGGGGCAGACTCTACCAGGCATTCTCCTATGGTGATGTTGTCCTGACCATTGGAACTGGTAAATTGACCGAGAGAGAACAACAAGGCCTGGGCCTTGTCAGCGAGCATGATTATGCCATTCTCAATATGAAGGAGGACAACGGCCGACGTCAGTTCTTGCTCAAGAACCCATGGGCAGGTGCGGAGCCTAGCATCGTACGACATGGCAGACTTGACCCAGCAGACTCTGAGAACCCACCCTCCCCTCTGTCACCGGGGACATTTTGGATGGACTGCGAACAGGTCTTCCAAAACTTTGAGAATCTATATCTCAACTGGAACCCCGGCTTATTCAAGTATCGTGAAGACGTACATTTTACGTGGGACCTTTCCCAAGGACGGGCTCTTTCAGGTTGCTTCATCAGGAACCCGCAATTCTCTGTCTACAGCGAAGGGGGAGGGACGGTCTGGTTGCTATTGGGCAAGCATTTCAAGACGGACGATCACAACTACACTAAAACCAAAGGCGGGGAGCTTGGATTTATCAGCATCTATATTTTCCAAGCTGGTGGTAAACGAGTGTGTTTAAATGATGGGGCTTTACGCCGTGGGCCCTATGTTGATTCCCCAAATACTCTCATGAGACTCGACATGCCCCCCCGAACTACCTACACCGTCGTGATATCGGAGCAATCATTACCATCGTCTAACCAGAACTTTACGCTCTCAGCATTCTCGACGTCCCCGGTCTCGCTGGCTCCTTCAAGAGACAAGCATATGTGTTTAAAGAAAACGAGCGGCGCATGGACGGCATTGACAGCCGGCGGCAACGCAGAATCTGCCCGATACTCTTCCAACCCACAATTCAGTCTTGAAGTTTCGGAAAGAACCGACTTGTCAATGCTCCTAGAATCGAACGAGGCCGAATTAGCAACTCATGTCAAACTCTTCTGGTCCAACGGTCAACGCATCACCAGAGTTCGAAGCCGAGACATTATTGCAGACAGCGGCGACTACCGCCGCGGGTGTGCCCTGGCTGAAACAAAATTCCTCGACAAGGGTCTATACACCATAGTATGCTCGACTTTTGCACCGGATCAACTTGGGCGTTTTGAGCTCTGGATCTTATCATCGATACCATGCGTGGTGCGACCATTAGCCTCTGAATCTGCCGGCCGCCGAAGGACCGTATCTAATATCGGAATTTTGACACCTGGAAAGGACCGCATGTTGGCACCGTTGCGGGTATCACGGATGACTCGCATCAAGTTAATTGCAAAGAGTAAACTATCTACAATTGGGGCTCGCTCCGTTGCCCCATCGCCTGTCTTGATGACCGTTGAACTAGGCCAAGGCCCTTACAAGAAGACCCTAGCAGTGTCTGAGGACGGCAGTCATTGTGATGCTCCTTCCGGGGTACGCGTGGATGACTTTGATCTCTCACCGAGCCCTGACTCCCATGGAAACATTTGGATCGTCATTGAGCGCATTGGAGGGCCTGGTGGACAAGTGGAAGATCATTTTGAGGTTGAGGCTTTGGCTGAAGAGCGCGTGGAGATTGGCGAGTGGGTAGTTGAAGACGATTGAATATGAATTGCATATTGAGCTCAAGTCCACCAGAGACTTGCTATCGCATCAGAGACTCAATTTACGTATTCCTCGCCAATTCAATATCCAACTATGAAATATGAAACCAGGAGTATTTCTCAAAGCTGACCTTTTATATTGGGGGAAATCGACCACAGCGACTGTCCTCAGCCAGCAGGAGTGGTTCCTATGCTGTAGGCATAAAATTGGGTTTTTTTCTTTGAATAATTTTCGATTTGTTACTTCGAGGATTAGTCCATATAGTCGCAGCAGGCAGCGGAGTATCCAAAGGAATAGAAACATCGTATGTAATTGATAAAGTGGGCCCCCAGCTTCCCAAAGGAGATAAGGTTGTCTTTTATCGCATCTCCGCACAGGCGGTGGGATTCAACCCTCCAAAACGTCATCTGGCCCCGAGCTCCTTACCAGCACCTTTCAGCAACAACGTCAACCATGGCCAGCAGTATTCCGGCAGCGCTACGATCTTCCGACATTGGGCGCTTTGCCATACGGGCAGCGCAGATCGAAAAGGCCAAGCCCGTGGTTGCCTACTGGTGTGAGTGGTGCCGCTTTCCCCGCGATGCGACCCCCCATTGATCAGATACCCCGTGCGATAGGCAATTACCATATCGTGAACCAGATTATCGAGCGAGGACTGCACAACTCGGATGATGAAATCAAAACCTATACTACAGACCTCGTCGACAAGTTGGAGCAGGTCAGTCGCACCGAACGCCTACCCCCCGACCCCCGTATCGTCTCTCGCGCTTTGCTGCCTGCGAACCTGATCGCTAACTCCTTTCCCCTGAAAATAGTTCAAGAATGAGAACTCTCAAAATGAGGCTGTGACAGATAATGATGCGGCTAGTGCTTATGTCGAGCAATTCGGACTGGAGATTTTCAACCGTGCCGAGGCCGCGATGACTGCCAACAAAGTCACCAAGTGAGCTTCCGAACACGACCAAAAGAGGAAGCACTTGCTTACATATAGCCAGACAAACTGCCGATACATTCCAAGCTGCAGCTATCTTCCTCGAGCTATGCCAGATATGGGGCGAGTTGGACACGGAGATCGCAGGAAGGATCAAGTTTGCCAAATACCATGCAGTTCGGATTGTGAAGGCCTTTAAGGCTGGGGAGGATCCCAATGCGACGAACCCTCCACCGAAAGAAGAGGAAGAATTGGTAACAGCGACTGACCCAGAAGTGCAAGCATTCGATGAGTCGGTGGCAGAGCAGGCCTCGAAGCCACGACAGGCGTCCGTCGAGGATGTTCCAGACGAAGCAGATCGTCTGACCCGCCAATTGGCCCATCAATCTACCTTGGACGAGTCGCTGCACCCATCACGGACATCTTCCATGCCACGTGCTCCTGCTGCTTCGGAACCTGAGATCCCCTCTGTACCCAGCAACCCGCCCGGTACGCCTGGGAAAGCGAGGGATATTAACTTGCCGGACGCTGGTGGCCTGGACCTTCCATCTACACCCGGAACCATTGGTGGCAAAATTGGTGGTCCTGCCCCCGTCATAGATCTCCCAGATACTCCTGGAACTTCAGATCTTCATGTATCGCACGCACCAACTCATTCAAATACCTTCCAGTCGTTCCCTCCCCCATCCGCAACAAGCCCATCGATTGAGGCACCAAACCCAGCTTCTTTCTACGATATATCTCGTGCCAGTGCCCATATTACACCCCCCGCTGCCCGTATCCCTGTCGCGCCAGCTCCTGTCGCCCCAAGTCAGCCCTCGCACTCTGTGGACGATCACAATATCTCCCTGGCACAGAAGCATGCTCGTTGGGCAGTGTCGGCTCTCACCTTTGACGATGTGGACACGGCGATTAAAGAACTTAAGAATGCTTTGAGGTTACTGGGTTCGGAATGACTGACACTATGTACTGTATGATTAAACAGTCTAATAATTATTGGTAGTGTTGAGATACCTCTCATGGCATGCATCTATTCCTTGTTCTTCCTTATTCTTGTTTTTCTTCCGGGTTAGATTGGGGGGCTTTCTCGTTTGATTCTTGGGAAACTGTCTCAAAGACATCAAGGCTGTCAGTCATTATGCTTACTAGTTGGTTGGACATCTAGTTGCCGCTCCATTATGCTACTGCGTGTTCGAATTGGTTGTTTTTAAGTAACACCTGAGGCTGGGTAACATGAAAGACTTCTCCCTTTCATAGTTGAGCGTCCTACCTTTAAGAACACGTTTGGAGATGGCTTTATTATACCATTGGCACTGCTCTTTCTTGGCGGCTTGAATATTATCTCCCGGTACATCCTTCGAGGAGTAAGTAAGATTAACATCTTGAAAATCTAGCATCATATCAACTCACTAAATGCCACCCACTGTGACTTTGAAGAGGGTCAAAGTAAGGCGATTTTCTTGATATCCCGTGCTGGACTGTGCCACTACTTACGTCGCATCTACCGTTTACTTCACTTACCCACAACCAAGCTCCAGGTATCTCATATCGCTCAATCATTCTGCTAGTCGCTTCGTATCATCTCACCTCGTCCTCTCCTCGAGTTCACGGTTCCTGGAGCCCCCCTCCCAACTCAACTCAGTCTTTCCATTTCTTATCTGCCAGTCCTTCCCTCTTTCGCTCACACCGCGACACACAGCACGATGACCAACTCGCCACGTCCAACCCGAAACCAAATCCCCCCCTCCTTCCCAGAGGGGTTCGATACTTTGACAAGCTCTGTCGATGACAAGCCACTTACTCCGAAGAGTAGCCTGGATGTGTTCCGTCGATTTTTCGACTTTAAGGAGAAACCCTGGAAGGAGTTCCGCGCACGAGTAAAGGCACATGCCTTGCTGACCTCCTCTTGGGCAGAAATCCAGGAGAATGAGACACAACGAGAGGCGGTGGCCGCCATATTTCTTGAACAGGTAGGGCTTGAGTATTGGGGTAAAGAGACCCGGGGCAAGTACCTGCTTGAAGACCATATTAGGAACGGAAATGTTTGTGACTATCCTCGAGACAAGAAGAGGTGGGTGATGATACCATCAAGAGATATTGGAACGAGGCCCGTCAAACTAACATTGACTAGAATGGTCAAGGCCCTCGCGTTCTTGCTGGAGAAGGATTCTAAAACCGGTACCAAAACCGGCTTCAAAGGCAAAGGACAGTCGTCGGTCTTGCAGGATGTAAGTTTCCTTTGATTTGAGGGTCCTCTTTTTGCTACATTTGTTAGCTTGACGGCTTAATGCTGAACACGATTAGGTTTCCGAGACACAATTTGACAGCCCTTTGTCTGAGCCACCATCTTCGGACAAGGTCACGGGTCCACTCAAGCGAAGCAGCAGCCGGGCATCAACTCCTACCGGGTTGTTCAGAATCCCCAAGACCCCCAAGACCCCACAAACCCCTCGACCTATGCGAAGCACGAGTATTGTGCGAGCAGAGGGATCTCCCCAGAGCTCAGCCCCATCAACTCCAACCCCACTGACCCGAGGGGGTCTGGTAACGGTCGAGAATGCACTGGTGTCATCGGCTCTCGCGACTCGAGGTGCTCCTAGCCAGGAGAACATCCAGCTTTGCTGCCAAGGTAAGTTGGCCTGCTACCACATACCTCCCGCTAATTCAGGATTGCTAATCACTTCAGTAGAGAGCACGAAGAATCTCCAGTTTCCAGAGATTCCTGCCTACACCTTAGCGACCTACTTCCTCGTTCAGGAGCATGGCAGTCAAAGGGAGCCAGTTTGTGTGCCCTTCCGCAATTTCGATGATTATGAGACAACCGACGAGTTCCTGGATGAAATGGAGAAGCGATGCTGCTGTGAGCATGAACCAAGTATGCTGCAGCTGTTTGAAGACGTCCGGCAGTTCTCGCATGCCGTGGTCTTGCTCCAATGGTCGGGTGTCTCTTTCGTGATGCGCCGCGAGACGGATGACCTCCAATCGCTGGCCAACCGCATTGCTTGGGCGTGGCGGGCAAAGAGGGAAGGCGAATTACGGACATTTGAGTTTGTGATCCAGGTGACATTGAAGAAGGATTAAATCGGCAGGCCGGTTACGTGCGGCAAGAGGCAAGAAGGCAACGAGGGGAAGAGGGAGGAGTGGACCCCGACGAGGGCCACCGTATTCCGCAGGACTAGGAAGCAGGACTAGGACGCCTACATACATTGCAGGGAACTGGGACACGATGAAAGATGAGGTTGATGTAGAGTAACCCCAGATCCCTGATCCCAGTATAAACTGTTTGGGTCCGGGCAGATCCCAACCCTTTAGTTCTTTTTAGTTCTCGATCCAGTACCATGGTGCTGCAGGTGCTACACCACAAGCACTTCGACGTCACTGGCAGTCCGGTGCTATCGGGTGCTTCGAATCAGCGGCTCGCATGCTGATACGGGGTCTCCACCCACAGCCCACTTAGTGCGGCGACTATAGATCACCGGCGTCGTTAGAGCGAGCGAAGCGGAGGCACTTGGCAGGGGAGTGGCTCGCGAAGTTTGGGAACGGACAGGGAGTGTGATCTTCCCGAATTTTCTAGCGACGCATTAGCGGGTCTCTTCCTTGAGTGGTTCTCTGGTTGAGGTGCTTGGTGAAAGTGGATTCTCGAGGCAGGTGGAAGTGGAGGAGAAGAACGATGGAGATGGAGATGGAGATGAAAAGGGTGAAATTGAAATTTGAAATTGGAATTGGAATGAGGAAATTGGGAAGGGAGAGAGGGAGAGTTCGCACGGCTGACCAAAATGACCAAAATGACCAAAACGCACGATGGCGATTTAGTCGATTTAGCCTTTTCTCTTTCACCCCCTCCCTCACTTTTGGGATTCCTCGATTCATCTATTCACTACTCTCCTCCCCTCTCTCCCTCTCCCTTCCCCCCTCCCCTTTTTGCCTTTGTCTCCCCCTCCCTTCCGCTTGGAAACTTTGGCTGCGGGTCGCTGCCATTGTACCCCAAATACGTTCATCATGGCCGACGCCAAAAAGCCTGCCGTCTTGATCATTGGTGGCCTCGGTACGTATTGGTTCCCCCCCCCTCCCACTCACGTTCCTCCGCCTCGATCCCATCCCACAAAACTGAAAAGCATGCTGACACTAAACTTGGTCATTGACAGGCTTCATCGGTCGCCATCTCGCCCTTCACATCCATGAGAACAACCTGGCCTCCGAGGTCCGCATTGTCGACAAGGTCCTGCCCCAATTAGCCTGGCTGGCTCCCGAGTTTGAAGAGGCATGCTCCAAGGACAAATTTGTACAGGCAGATGCCTGCCGTGAACGTAGGTGGACACTTGCCAATGGTCCCTTTACCGTGTGATTTCATGGTCGGGAATCGACAGAATATACTCACACCCTCGTTCTCTTGCTATAGAACACCTTCCCCGCATTTTCGACCGCGCTAATGGTGAACAATTCGACTACGTGATCAACTGCGGCGGTGAGACTCGGCATTCCCAGCCCGACGACGTCTATGAAGCCCGCAGCTGCAACCTCACCATTGCCCTGGCCAAGGAGTGTGCTAAGCGTGGTATCCCCGCCTTTGTCGAGTGCTCGACTGCCCATGTCTACAAAAGCGGGTCCTCGCCGCGTAAGGAAGGCGACAAGATGCAGCCGTGGCACAAGCTGGCCAAGTGGAAGCTCAAAGCTGCCGAGGGGCTACTCAAGATTCCTGAATTGCAGTACTGCGCTCTGCGCCTGCCGCATGTTTACGGCGCCTACAACCCAGGCTACTTTGCCATGGCTATCTGTCTCGCCCGCGTGCATAAGGAGATGGAACAAGATCTCGAGTTCTTGTATACTAAGGATGTCAAGGTGAACACACTTCACGTCAAGGATGCCGCCAGTGCTCTGTGGATGGCGGCGGAATGGCGCGCCAAGAAGGGCAAGCTCGACCGCAACAACGGGTCCATGCCGGCCGTGTTCAAGGACCCTGCTATGCCCATCGCCTTCAACGTCGTCGACCACAACGATACCTGCCAGCAGCATGTCGCTCAGGCCATGGCCGAGGTATTTGACCTCAAGGTCTCTTTCCTCGGATCCCTCGCCTCGCAGCTGGCTAAGATGAACCTGGACGATGTGGTGGACGACATGAACGAGGTTAGTCTGCAAGAGTGGGCCGACCTGGTTGCCAAGAGCAAGATCGAGCGGCCGGGGCCTATCGGTCCGTTCTTGGAACTCGATGTGCTCAAAGCCCAGGATATGTCCATTGATGGTTCGCTGTTCGAGTCGACCGTCGGCTGGAAACCTAAATATGAGCACTTCGACGCCGATAGTGTTCGTGAGATGGTTGAGAGCTACAAGCGGATGAACTGGTGGCCATAAACAGATTCTCCGCTCCTCTCCTCTCCACTCGCTCACGGTCTATTGCATCCTCTCCTTTTCTCGCATGATTGTTCACGGTCTCCTTCCATCGTCGAGAGAGCCCCGGTCTCCCCTGCATCGCATCGCATTGTATCTGCAAAGAAAATTACACCCCCCCCCCTCGCCTTGACACGACATGACACTTCTGACGACTGATTCTTCTCCACCACTTCACCTCTCTGTCTTGGGTCTTGGCCTCTTGCATTTCTCTCGGATTCCCAGATTCCCCAAGTATCGGTGTGGTCCAGACCCACATGTCGGATTGCATATCTGATTTTTTTTGTACTAATAATCCTGAATCCATCGGGCGGGATTTCCTTTTGGTTTCCATTTCTTGCATATATCCTTTCTTTCCATTTCTCATTCTCATTCTTTGACCGAGCCTGCACTTTGCATACTGAGCCCTTTTTATTCTTTTCGTGGCCGGTTCCTCCTTCATTATTTTTATATTTAACATGGTGTCAAGCCTGCTTCGGCCCCTTCCCATGTTTTCTCGGATCTGTACGCACAATTATAGACAGGTTGAAATCTGCTGGATGGGACTTTCCTGTCTCGGCTGCCGCCACTTTTATGAGGCGCTTAGGCTTGGTGATTAAACACTAGCACGGGCTCATAGTGATCAGTTCTGTAGAATTTCATAAATATAACACTCTAATCTTTCTAACACACTGTCAGCATCCTTCGACAAGCCGCACAAGTCTACCGCCTGTAATTTAGCATTCATGAAGAACAAGCCGATGTTTAAACAGCCCGCCGGTATTCCCATGGAAATCTACTCACGAGGGCGAAGTAGCAACACGTAACTATCACTGTAAGTAGGTTTTACCCCCACCCCCTTTGAGCAATTGACAATGTCAAGCTTGAAGTACCATTATGTGCAAGTTATTGTTGGGTGACCCTAGTCATGACGGCCATTTCCATCGTCATACCCGGCCCAAACGCGCCGACAACAACTTTATCGCGTCCAGTTCTGGCAGAACCTTCCTCAATTGCCAGCTCGTGGATGATGCTCAGAATGGTAGCAGAGCTAGTATTTCCATGCGTTTTATATACATCGTAGCTCTTCCGTAGATGGTGCTCCGATATGTTCAGCACGTTTTGGGCCCGAAGAAGGATGTCGTAACCCCCAGGATGCAAGGCCCAATCATAGCTAGACGCCTCAAAATTGGCCTTGGATAAACAGAGCCAAGGAGTTGTGGAAATCAGATCTTGGAAGCCGGCAGGAAGTGACGCAGAAACATGTTGAGGGACGTCCTTTGAAATCACCGCGTGATACCCTGCTCAGTCTTTAGCATCGTTTATCCCCTTTGCTTGGTTGCTGATGGAAACCTACCATGTTGATGGACATTAAACTCAAGGCAATTCGCCGAATCCTTCAGAATAGTAGACCGAGCGTTGAGTATGTTCCAGAGAGGCGCTTTTTCAGAACTTTGAGTACCGATTCCATTGCTCAGAACTAACGCACCAGCGCCATCGCCGAAAAGCGTAACGCCAATATTCACCTGCTGATCTCTGACAATCGCCGCTAATTCCGCACGGCAGAAGATTGATACGAGCTCGCATGCAACGACTAGCGCTTTTCCCGTCTTCCCAAGGGCTGCTGCCCCGAGAAGAAGCTCATTCGCCGTGCGCAGGGCAGCAACACCACCTGCGCAGCCCACTCCATGAAGCAGAGTACGTTTCACATTTTTGTGTAGACCGAGTCTCTCGCTTAGTATAAAGTCGAAACCAGGATTTGCCGTATTGGTGCATGTGACCGCAATAATGTGGGTGATGTCCTCGTACGAGCCACCCCAGTCTCCTAGTGCCTTTCTTGCTGCTTCCTCGGCCAATGAGACTCCGTATTGCTTGAAAATTGCATCACAGTCTGCAATGCTCGGTAGTTTTTCGTCTTTCCAGTAAGGGTCATCGTCTGGGATAGCGAAGTGGCGTTGTTGTATTCTGGATCTTTTGTTGATTTCCCAAGTCTTTTTCAAACTAGCCTCGTGAGTCAGCGCCAATATGTTCAATTCGTTGTGTGCCTTCAATATGCGTACATTGGATCTATGTCGTAGTATGTAGAGATGATCTCCTCAAGACACTCGGGGGTTTTTGTGTTATGGGGGTAGTAAGAACCTGTCCCGACAATGGAAACAACGGGTGTAGAAGCATTCCCGTGCGAATTTGTGAACTGGTTGTACTGGTCCTTGAGGGTGATATCAGCAAAGAAGAATTGCGGGTATATGGATTGAAGGCTCTTGGTCAGGTATGAGGCCCATGCGTGGACAGTATGAATGACAGACATAGTTCAGGAGAAGGCTCTCGAAGCTTCAACCGCTGAAGAGTCCACCTGTCATTATTTGTGGGATTGCCTCTTGATAGAGAATTACGGCAGCGCGATAGAACGCCAAGCCGTCACCTGCTGAATAATCTTGATTCTAGCGGCGTTAGTTAGGCGCTCCTCAGGGCTGAACTTCATCACAGTTCAGATAAAAGGAGCCAAAGTGCTCCCTCGCTTCCTAGTCCAACCCTGGCGTAAAAGCCTCCGATTGGAGTCCCGGTCTGTCCATATGTGGCGCAACCTTAAGCTTTCCAGGGTCGATGAACATTGGCTGGACGATATCTGGCTTTCCGATTTCTAATTACGAGTCTGGGGACGGACCGAGGAGATCCATCATCTCTGCCAGATGTTGTTTAACCTCCCATTGGGAAGAACTGCCCCGCTGAACATGAATACCGCCCAGAAAATCTCCAAGAGGACGGCATCGAGCTTCTATAGATCCGTGGCCGTGACGTTTTCATCAGCCCAGCTTGAGACGCCCCGGTCCCCTAGAACAACATCAGGGTGGTTGCAGTCAACCCTGTCAAAGTATGATTGACGGAGAGAAGTAGACGAATGGATGGAGTATCGCTCCTCAGTCTTGTTCTACTGGGGAATGAGCAATTTAGCCAACGAACCGGATCGGATACGGGTATAGTCCTTCAGTATAACAACCTTGGTTGGATCTATCAGAAAGTCATGTCAAATGCTGTCCCAAGCTTGGGCGTATTTGGAGCTCCATATGTAAGTACACTACCTGTATGAATCACCTTCTGGTTATGAGCATAATCTAGCGCCAGTGGTAATTGGATCGTGAGGCGTCGAACGAGCTAGTTGGGAATGCTACTGTCAGGAAACCAAGTCGGGAAACTGTCCAGAATTTCTCTGATAAGCTCATACCCAAAACAAACGTTAGTCACGTCGGGTCTATTGTGCTCGAAGTCATCCACTAGATGAGAGATTTGCTAATATGTTATGCAGCCTGCTCGGTAAGAATCTCTCTCCCAAAGATGTCGGGTTTTGCAGCATAGCCAGTCCTAAAAGTTTTGAGCTCAAGGAATTCATGATCGTCGCGGATTCCTTTCTTTGTTTGTCTCCTTACTGTCTACAGCCAAGGTCCGGTGGAAAATGTGTTGTTTACCTCGTTGAGGATAGCTTTACAATATAATAGACTTCAAGACTCTAGCCGCCGTAGGACTGTGCTGCTACTAATAGCAGCCGCTTACCCGATTGTAACTACTTTATCATATCTTCTTCACCGCAAAGCGTAGGATTTCTAATCCCCCAGATCTTGTTAGATTGGACTCCCGCAGTTATGGTAATCAAGACTTCGCATTCCGCTGCCAGGGTCCGAAGAGTACAAACTTGGCTACACCAAGCACACAAACTGACGGCGGCGGTAGTATTTCCAGGTAACCAGCCAAAACGAGAAGAAGACTTCGTCTTTTCGCCAAAGCAGACCGATGATCTCCCTCTCGAGTCAAGCGGATAAGCATAGTTCTCATCAAGATAAGCGCGGCCGACGCGGCTTTCGCTGGGTGATTGATAGAGTAGCAGTAACTATGCTCATATCTTCGATATCTCGATTAGCCCTCGTCGGCTCGCCATGGCGCTGGGAATCAAACTTTGCGATGGGCCTCTCGCAAGGGCTGCAAGGGCTGCAAAGATTTCTCAGGGTTCCTGTTCGTCTCTCAAAATCTGTGGTTAACAGAACCCCATCGTATCTTATCTACATAAAATTCCGTAACAGAAATGATAGAACACATTGTGATCTTCCATTCGAGCTAAATAGGGCTACTATGGACAGATCGAGAAAGACTGGGCTGAATGAATGGGCAATGCGACAATTCAACAACCGAGTTCAATGCTATTCGACTTGAATCTTTTTTTGCAGGTGTTCTTTGTGCTTGTTGTAGTTAAAATCTCTCCGAGAGCGCCATGAATGGCATTTGATGTATACAACGTCATGTGGACCTCATGTGTGAGACCAACGGGGTGGGCAAGTATCAAACCGCGGTGCTGCACATCAGCACATCGTATTTCAAGAAAAGAAACGCAACGAAAGAAAAGACGAAAAGAACAAAAGCCACCTCTCCACTGTTCAGGGCCTGGAGATAGTATAAGATGATATTGTATGGACAATCAGGACTGCCCGTGGCAATCTGATTGTAGATGAAGACGGCTTAGAACTCCCAATTCTCGTCAACGGATTTGATGGCCCATTCGAACTTCTCGCGGAGAGCCTTGGAGAAGAACTTCTCAATGGGCACGTTGAACTTCTTACTGAAGACAACAGTGAGACGGGGGTCGATGTAGTTCTGGAAACCGCATGTTAGACAAATGCATGAGATTCACGCTGATCAAAAATTCAAAACTCACAATCTTGGAGGTACCTAATGCGACCTCCTTGTTGTCTTCCTTGTCCTGGGCCTGAAGCAGCATGGCATCAATACGCTGCTCTAGCTTTTTGATGTTGCCCTCGATCTTCTCAACCGTGGGGCCACGGCCTTCTGCCTCAACCTTTCCGGTCTTGTTCTCTTTATTGTATTTCTTCTCCAAGTCCTTGACGGCGCTCAACCGTTCGGTGAGCTCTGATGCCTTCATTGCCTTCTCGCCATCCGCCACTCGCTTTTCATTGTCCTTCTCGAACTTCTTCGTGATCTTCTGAGTGGCCTCCTCGACCTTGTAAGCCTGGTATTCCTTAACCCACTCAGGGGTCAAATCCTCATCCAGCTCGAAGAAAGAAGCGCCCTTCTTCTTCTTGAGGGAAGGCTCTAGGTCGAGCATCTGCATCTTCAGTCGCCATCTTTCGAAGCGAAGTCCCTTGATCTGAAAGAAAGCAAACCCGTTAATACGCAAACACAACCACCCCAGTTCCCGTGAGACCTACCCGTTCACTCATCTTCTCCATCTGGTTGGCGTGGGCAGCCCCGACCGTTCGCTTATGGTTACACAGAATAGCAACCCGGCGGTTAGCATCGTTATAGGCCTTGATCTTCTCGGGGATGGTGCCAGAAGCCTTCAAGTCCTTGAGCAATTCGCTCATGGTAAAGGAAGCATTGTATGTACGGAACACTTTGGCGGTCAAACCGGACATGTAGTTCTGCAAGTGCTTGTTGAGCGCGGAAGTCTATAATCTGTTAGCCACTGTAATCACTATGGCTCAAAAGGTAAATCCCGTACAGTGAGTCGGTCAAAGATCTCGTCACCATTCTTTTTCGGCGCCTTCTTGAAGATCTTCAAGTTCTTGAACACCTGTGGGTCCACCGTAACCTCGTCGTAGAACCGAATACTATCCTTACCCAAGAAGTCGAAGACGACAGTCTGTGGTGGCTTCAAAGTAATGTTCTCATACTTCAATGAACAGCAGCCGACAGTCTCTGCCTCATCTTCGCCCTTCTCATTGCCAGCACGCAGAGCAAATTTGTCAATCAGGTACATGGCCGTCGCCTTCTGACGCTCCACCATCAGGTCATTTTTCATGTTCTTCGTGTAATCCTTGCGGATCTTGTCGATGTGCTTCTTGAGCTCGCGGGCCTTCTCGAACTTCTTGTAGTCGCTTTGGCCCTTGACGTCGGAATTGGCAGCCAGCATGACGTATTTGTAGTTACCGTTGATGTTCTCTTGCCACATAGCAAGCCACGTGCCTTCCTGGTCATGCTTCACTTCCTTCCACTTGTGACCTGGAGGTGGCGGGGGAACTTTAGCCTCCTTGCCGATGTTGATGGTGACTTGCTCGGGCTGCACACGGGTTTTGACGCGTCCAGTCTTTGGGTGTTCACCTCGGCCACGGAATAGCGAAGGCGGTTCCACACGGAAGTTGCCGACCTTTTGTTGACGACCATCCCAAATGCACGTCATGTAGGGAGCCTCTTGCTCATCTTTCTCGGCTTTCAGGCGCTTCTTCTCTGCTGCAGGCAGATTCCGCTTCTCCTCGCGCTGGGCATCGTAGTACTCAAAGATAGGCTTGAAGTCGCACTTGGCAAACTCTTTGATATCGACCTTGTTGCCCTTGGAATCCTTGGCGCCGCCGGTTTTCTTGAGGATATCCTTGAAATCCATAAAGAAGTTCTTTTGGAAGACAGGGTTCTCCACGTTATGCGTCGAGTTGAGCATGCTTCCGAAGAAGCCCGCAACCTCCTCAGCCTCAGGATGAAGAATCACAGGAACACCGTCGTACTTCAACTTGACATTTTGAGGCAAAGGCTCGTATGGAGGAGGGAACACCACACCGTTGTGCTCAAGAGTCGTCCACTTCTTGGTGCCATCGCCCTTGGTAGGATCTTCCCACCAGCGATATTCTTCCTCCCCATCTTCCGCATCCTCGCTCTCGGCCTTGACCTTGTCTTTGCCCTTTTTCGAAGACACCGGCTCGGCTTTCACCTTCTTCACAGAAGATTTATCGTCCACCGGTTCCTTCTTGACGCCATTCGCTGACTTCTTGGTCGAAGCCACGGGCTTAGCTTTAGAGGCCGAAGGCTTGCGCGCAAGGCTGGCCACCTTTTCCGCCCGCTTCTCAATCTTCTTCTTCTGCGCGGTGAGTTTGCGCTCAATTGGGATGTCGGAATCGGATTCTTCGCCAATAGCCGTCTCAGAGGCCTTTGGGAGCTTTCGTCCGTTGAGGGCCAGCGGAACGTCATCATCCGATTCGGGGTCCTCGTGTTTGACCGAAGTTCGCCGGCGCTTGCTCTGAGAATGGTCAGTCGCTGAAACCAAGAGACATCAAAGTTGCAAAAAACTGGTGTTTCGGGCCAAAGTATAGCGTACCAAGGGCTGGTCATCTTCGCTGCTCTCAGGCTCGGTATATGACTTCGTTTTGTCAGTGCTTGCCCGCGACTTGCGCTTGCTCAGGGCAGGCGCATCCGCGTCCTTCATGTCGATGTCCTTGTCTCGTACGGGTCCAAAGCGAACCGACATGCCGGGGTCGAGATCGCCGTTTGTCGCGGGAGGCTTGGTCGAGGAGGAAGGGGCTAGAGAGATAAGATGATCGTATGCATTAGTTTGATTCGAGATCAATGTGTAAGCGGGGGCACGTGAGATCATTGACAAGGTTGAGGGTGAAATGTATCTGAAAGAAGGTGAAGGTGCAGAGATATGTGATGTGATGCGATGAAAGGTGTCCTCGAAGGAGAATAAGAGCCGAAGGGTGTACATGCAGCAGCGTCACACAGGGAAAGCTTACCATTGGCGCGGCCGTTGGCGCGCACGAGAGGAATGTCATCCTCAGAGGAGCTCATGACGTTGGCTTGAAAGCCTAGAAGGCGCACAGGAGGATTGATGTGATATAAGCGAACGCTGTGGTTGTTAAAGAGTCCTCGTGCGCCGAGTCGAGCAAACCGAGCCGCTTGATAGAACGAACTAGTCAGGGAAATTCTGACCAATGAAGACGAGAGTCGACTTCAGCAGAGGTGACAACGCATCAATGATGCGCAGGGGAGTGGGTGTGGGGAGAGAGACTAGAGAAATACGACGAGGAGACGAGCGCGGAGACGAGGAGGGTAGAGAGGGTAGAAGAGGAGAGGAAAGTCGAAGTTTGGGGGGGAAGGAGGAATGGAGGGAATGGAATGGAAAACGAGGCCTTGACCTCATTCTGCCTGAGGCCCCAAAATACAGTCCCCGATTTGCCCGCGTGGCTGCCCGAAAGCTCAGGCATGACGTACACAAAACAGTTGCCGACCTTCCGTCCTGAGGCCCCAAGGCGCTAAGGCCACCAAATTACGCCGGAAGTCGGGACAGCACACCGTAGACCCGCACCCTTTTGGGTTTAGCGCAGGAGCGGCAGCCAGGAGGTTCGACTTCGCACTTCCCGACAGTCCCAGCAACGAACAGCAAAGCGAGGCCTCTGCAACCCTGCCCTGCTCCCCCTCCCCCCTCTCCGCAGTTTTTGTCTGCTCTCTACCACCTCAAAAACTTCTTCGCAATGTTCTCCCGCACCGTTCGCCCGGCCGTTCGGGCTGGCAGCGCTGCTGTCGCTCGGTAAGTCTTCTTCCGATGCCCGCCTCGTGGGCAGGTCCTTTCACCCGACGCATTCGACACCAACATCTCGATACCGTCTTCATTGAATCAATCATCCCCTTCAGCAAAGGAAAGCTCCATTGATTACTGACGCCTACTTAAGCACTGCCCCGACCAATGCCGCCAACTTCGCGACTCTGCGTGAAATTGAGGGCCGCCTCAAGTCCATCCGTAACATCGAGAAGATCACCAACACCATGAAGATCGTTGCCTCGACTCGTCTCACCCGCGCTCAGAAGGCTATGGATGAGTCCCGCAACTACGGTCAGACCTCCAACACCGTCTTCGAGCAGGCCGAGACCAAGCCTCTGGAGGGCAAGAAGACTCTTTACGTCGTGGCTAGCTCCGACAAGGGTCTTTGTGGTGGTATTCACTCAGGTCTCTCCAAGGCCACTCGCCGCTTGCTGGCTGAGAACCCCGAGGCCGACGTCGTCATCCTCGGCGAGAAGGCTAAGGCTCAGCTGTCCCGTGTCGTTCCCGAGAAGATCATCCTGAGCTTCGCCAACGTCTGCAAGGATATCCCCACCTTCGCCGACGCCCAGGCTATTGCCGACCAGATCTCTCTGCTGCCCACCGACTACGCTAGCGTCAAGATCGTCTACAACAAGTTCCTCAACGCTCAGAGCTACGAGGCCACCACCATTGAGGCTTTCTCTGAGGAGGCTATCACTCAGTCCGGTAAATTCTTTCTGCGCCCCAGAGGAGCGACGTAGCTTCAATTACTTATACAATTTGTCTTATAGCCAACATCTCCGCCTACGAGATTGATGATGAGGCTCTTGCTGGTCTCCGCGAGTACGCTCTCGCCAACAACCTCTTCTGGGCCATGGCTGAGGGCCACGCCTGCGAGATCTCGGTATGTCTCTATAATCCTCTAACCACAGTGAAAGTCGGGTTTTAACGAATATTAGGCTCGTCGCAACGCCATGGAGAACGCATCCAAGAACGCTGGTGAGATGATCAACAAGTTCCAGATTCTGTACAACCGTCAGCGTCAAGCCGCCATTACTGGTGAGCTGGTTGAGATTATCACCGGTGCCACCGCCTCTGAGGACATGTAGAAGCCTTGATCTGCTTCTATGGGACGAAGTCACCTTTCAGTGTAGACTTGTTGATATTTAGATCGACCCACCGTTTTTGTAAAATCAGTGTCAATCCATTCCGATTTCTTTTGTGCTCTTCGGCCGACTTAGTAGGCTGATGGCCATCATCTACTCTTTAAGCTTGCTTCCCGAGTACGTCACCTTTGTAAGCTGTCTTGCCTTGATAATCGATCTTGCCTGGATGACCTGTCATGCCTTGATAATCTGGGAAGCCCTGGAACTCGAACTTTTCAATTTGATACTTCAAAACGCTAACTCTCGCTTTACCACCGATTATTCTTCTCTTTTCACCACGAAGTTCTCTTTTCACCTTGTTTTGCTCCTCCAGCCACGCTCTGCGACTGATTCACTTCAGAAACAATCGTTACGATCAACTTTTCTTTCCTTCTCAACCCTCGCCTGCCCCTCGAACCTCGCTCCCTCGAGCCACGCTCTGCGATTTCTTTACTTCATAAATAATCGCTACCGTCACCTTCTCAGACCTTTCTCCTCCTTCCGAGTCTGTATCCAGATTTTCCTTTCCCCTAGACAAGTTCACACTCGAGCAGCTAAAACCATCGACCCCCACACTGCTGTGACTACTACTTGTCAACTCTGGAGCTTGTTGGGAGTTCCGACATACACACACTAGGGGCCTTCTTTCTCCGGCACTTTGGACTGTCAAGATGTCGACAATGATGTTTGTCGATCACTATGCGGTATTAGGCGTCAAACGCAACGCATCAAGCAAGGAGATCAACATTGCTTGGAAACAGTTCGCTCTGAAATATCACCCGGACAAGTGCAATGGCAATAAAGCCATCGAGGAATTCCTCAAGGTAGGCCATGCTTGCTTGACCGTACAGATACTTCTCATTGGCAGCCTATTTGGGCCTCTTCACCGATATTGTGAACTGAAAAATTATACATCACAGGGCCTGGAGGCTGCAGAGACGCTCCGTGACCCTCAACGACGTGAGCATTACGACAAAGAACTCAAAGCCCATGATTCGCGCTATCGGACCGGTTGGGCGGGCAGGAAGCATCATCCACCTCGAACCTCTCCTGCCCATTCCTCGCCGCTGAACCCGCAATCTCATTACTCCGGTGATCCAGGAGACCGGACGGACCCTCAACGCAGTTGGAACCAAACCGGCAATAGAAACGACTACCATGGTCCCACGCCCAAATACAGCGAGGCACAGATGGACATGATATTCGAGACTGTCAAGAGAAGAGAGAGGGAACGCATCGCCGCAGAGAAACAGAAAGTGCGACAGGCTGAAGCCGAAGTGAAGCAAAACCAACGAGAGACCGATCAAGAGATGCACGCATGGGAAACCGATAACTGCCTCTCCGGTGATCTCGGGGCCCAGAAGGCACAGGCTCAGCGGCACGAAGGTTGCAACTGGCGTGACTCAACTCTTGATTCCCCGACCGACTGGGATGACAGCTCAAGTGACTCGGATGGAGGAATGCCCCTTTGAGAATCATCGTCATGTTAGGGATGGAGCACAAGTAATTGAACGCAATGTTAGCTGTTACACTACTAGACTACGCTCAGTAGTTCCGCGCTAGTTTCTGATGCTCCGTTTGACGCCCACCAACAGATGTCTGTATCACAAATCAAACTTCATATTTGCACTTGAATGGCTTTGTCTGATTATCATGGGTTATACAACATCTTACACAACCACGTTTCAGGTAACCCAAGCAAAGAGACTCTGCAGAGAAGTTCTTTGACGGATTTCCTGTCTCCGCGCATATTGGGGAATCTTCTGGTCTAGGCCAGGCACACAAGGGAGCCGTTGAGTAGGCCGACTCGTCTCACGAATTCCAAATTGGGCACGTGCACTCATCCTCTCATCGCGGTAAGAGCTTGAAAATTGGGGCTGAACAAGTATTTCGGCTCATAAATCAGCCTATTAGATGAAGAGAGTGTCACTGAACGAATATCTTCTCATCGATCAAATCGGTAGATCACCAGATCACGGTTCCGAGCCTCGCCAATGATGTACTTGTCACAGCCACAAAGCTTCGCTCGACCACTTAAATCTGGCGCTTTCCTGGTGGCCAGCATCTTGTCCGTTTCGATTGTCAAGTGTATGGTGCCTAAATCCCCAGTCTCCACGTTGTCCTCGAAATGGAGACGAAAGATTACGCCGGATTGAAGATCGGTCACCTGCGCGATGATGCTGTTCCAGGAGTCGACCAAATGGTCCCACTCATAAAGAGGCATTTGCTGAAAATTGTCGTTGCTTCGATATGCCGTCAGAATAAACCCTGGAGAAATTCGAGCGCAGGGACCAATTCCATTGACTGGAATGCCGACAGTGACGGTCTGAGGCACACCCCATGCTTGGGGCTGCTCGTTGACAGGAAAGATACGAGCATTCTCGGTGATATACACAGTTTGTCCATCATCAGAGACTTCGAGCTGCTGTATACATGGGAAGCCCCTCTGTCGAACATTGAAGAATTCAAGATCTTGATATCCGAAGCGAGCAAGAATGGACGGGGCCTGGTCTACCTCAGGTCCGGTCTGTGCCCCTGTAGGATCGAGAGATGGGCGATAGTCAGATTGCCGTGAGATATCCCACACAAATAAGGACTCGATGGGCGCATCCTCGTCTGCCGTGTACAGACTGCGGTTGGGTTGCCAGATGTAGATGACATAGTGTGTCTTGCTGTGGGCAGAGAAGAATCGATCCCGCTCACTGAGTGGATGACCTAGAAACATGATTTTCCATTCATTGCGCGGAATGATTTCCCATACACCGGTGTCGCCGGCACTCGGGGTCACATCAAAGGATGAGGCGAAATGACGATGCACGCCATCGCTTTCATTGAGCCAGTGGAAGGCTTTGGGCTCGGCCCATTCCACGACCAGCAAGCGCTTCTGGAGTCGTACTCTCCGAATTACCTTGCCTTCGATGATAAAAGGCACGAGAAATTGCCTGTCGCTATCCAGGTCTAAAAGTACGAGATACCGGTGCTTCGCTTGGGGGAAGACTAACAGTCCATCCTCGTATGTCCACATTGATTCTGAGAACTGGCGGTCGACGTCACCCAGATAGTGACTGGCATGCGACTCCCAGGGCTGCACTGGAAACCATTGTCTCTCCCATGACCAGCCCAAGTCGCTGCATAGGCGGTGTTTCTGCTCGGAGCGGGGCTTTCCTCGCTCTAGGTGGTCATAACGGGCGACTACTTGGTCAAAGGTTTTTTGAACAAACTTTTCTGCATCAGCGGAAGCATTTTGCAGGTCCTTGACCTCTTGCGCCCAGGGGAAATGTCTTTTGAAAAGAGGGAACAAGATATCCGGGTTACGAAAGGCCTCGTTCCACGCTCGTGAGACGCGGCGACAGCGCACAAGGTCCGTGGGCTCTAACAATTCTAGAATAAGCCAGAAGAGGTCCCTAGGCAGGAAAGCAAGGTCATGACAAGGGTCCTGACCACTGCAAAGAGGAATAGTCATCGTGGTGTGGCATTGTAGGTGGTAATTACGGTTATCAAGGAGTCCGAAGAAGGTCAACGAGCCGCCGGAGCTTCCTTATTGGAGAAGCTTTTCTCTCCGCATGCCAAGAGCTTCAGGACACCTTGCGTAATAAAGGCCTCTGTTCTGACTGATCTGTCTTTTTCCACCCCGTTTCACAGACTTGCGATGCTCGTCGGAGCGCCTGCATAGATTTTGCACAAATCTTGAGTTTTTCAATCTCAATCCGCCTTCATGATGCTGCCACAGAGCTCGTGGTTGCTCGTCGCTTCGTTGCTGGCTGCGCTGCCCGCCAACGCCGACGGACTCTACACCAAAAAATCGCCGGTCCTCCAGCTCAACCAGAAGACCTACGGATCACTCATTGCGAACTCGAATTATACTTCAGTAAGGATACCCTTGTCTGCCAGAATTTGCCCATGGGAATTACGCCGCGAGCCGAATGCTAATCTCCAATTCCTATAGATCGTCGAGTAAGCTATCCCCGCACGGCCGAAGAATTCCACTCTTAAGAGTTTTCCTCCAAGCTAATTGACCTCTGCTTTCGCTAGGTTCTATGCACCCTGGTGTGGCCACTGCAAAAACCTCAAGCCCGCCTATGAGAAAGCCGCCCAGAATCTCAACGGCTTGGCCAAGGTCGCCGCCGTTAACTGCGATGACGACGAAATCAAGCCCTTCTGCGGCCAGATGGGCGTGCAGGGCTTCCCCACCCTTAAGATCGTGACGCCGTCCAAGAAGCCTGGAAAGCCGCGTGTGGAGGACTACCAGGGTGCGCGCACTGCCAAAGCTATCGTGGATGCAGTGGTCGACCGCATCCCCAACCACGTGAAGCGCGCGACGGACAAGGACTTGGACAAATGGCTGGGACAGAATGAGGAGCGACCCAAGGCTATTCTATTCACGGAAAAGGGCACTACCACTCCTTTGATCCGCGCGCTGGCCATCGATTTCCTGGGCGCCATTGACGTCGCTCAGGTGCGCGACAAGGAGTCTGCATCCGTGGAGAGATTTGGTGTCTCCGAGTTCCCGACACTGGTTGTCGTCTCCGGTAACGAAGAGCCCAAGGTGTATGAAGGCGAGCTGAAGAAGCAGCCTATCACCGACTTCCTCAAGCAATTTGCATCGCCTAACCCCGACGCTACCGGAGAGGCTGCCTCACCCGCGGCCAAGCCGAAGAAGTCCAAGCCTTCCAAGCCTGCGAAGGCAGCTCCTAAGGTTCCAGTTGTTCCCGATGACGAGGATAAATCGACGGCTGCGGAGGAAACGCCCCAGGCCAAGGCCGCACACGTTCCCATTGTTCCACCCATTCCTACTCTCGCTACCCCCGAATCCCTCGAGTCCGCCTGTCTGAGCTCCAAGTCCACCACCTGTGTGCTGGCCCTCCTCCCAGCAACGAGTGAGCCGGACTCCGCGCTCCCATCAGCAGCCACCGATGCACTTAGCAGCCTGGCTGAGATTGCACACAAGCATGCCCAGCGTGGTATGCACCTCTTCCCGATCTACGGTGTTCCCGAGATCAACTCTGCCTCTCAGAAGCTGCGTACTGCGCTCGGCCTGGAGGGCGATGATGTCGCGGAGATCATTGCCGTCAATGCTCGCCGCGGTTGGTACCGTCGGTATGGCCAGACAGGGGACTTTGGCCTCGCGGCCGTTGAGGGATGGATTGATGCCATCCGCCTTGGAGAAGGCGCTAAGGAGAAGCTGCCTGAGGGTATCATCGCTGAGCCTAAGGCGGAGAAGCCAGAGGAGGAAGAGCCCGAGCATGATGAGCTGTGAGATCTGACGCAGCCGGGATACTTAACACATATTGCAGCTAGTCTGTGCCCTCCTATGTCTTTAGCTTGTTAGTTATCAATGCATCCTACATAATCTTCTGTCACTTGTCAGAACAGACCCTACTCTTAAGTACAATATCTACTTGAGGTAATAGAAACTCGCATGGAAGACGAATCAAGTCGTTCAGATATATACAAGAGGTGATTATCCAGCACAACATGAAATAACTGGAACACCACTCTCTTCAAAGAGTACATGTGAGTGAAAAAAAGCCGCAAGAACACCGGAAGAAAATGCAGAGGAACGCCGTCAAGACACTGGTAATCCCCAAATAACGTTTACTTTTTCCGGCCCTCAGTACCCTTCTTGATCATCTTTTGACGCTTGGAGTCAACCTCCTTGTCATAGATGTCCCGGGCAGTCTCGCCCTTCTTGCGCTTAGACTGCTTTGCCTTCACGCTAACGGTGGCGGCGCCACCAGCACGAATCTGCTTCTCAGCATCTTCCCAGGACGCGGCACCATGATCAATTTCGTATCTGGAGACTAAGAATCAGTTATTGTTCATTCACGGATTCAGTAGCAGCAGCTTGAGGCAAAGGCCAGACTTACTTGTCGAGCGGAAGAGCGTCAATCAGAGCACGCTGCTTCTCGCGCATCTCCTGGTTAATCTCCTCGCCGCCCTCACGGAGCTCATCCTCCAGACCCATTTCCAGAGGCTTGAAACGGTCCTCAACCACGGCGTCATCGTGGGCGCCCGAGGGAGCGGAGGCGGGAATCTGCTCTGCAGGCATGGTTTCTGCAACGGCTCCCTCGACCAGGCCGCGGAAGTGCGTCGAAATCTTACGCATGATCTTAAGGAACATGGCAAGAAGCTGGGAAGAAGGAAGGCTCAGCTCCTTCTCCAGATCATCCATGCTCTTACGCTGCAGACCAATAGCCAGGAGAATCGACTGCTGAACGCCGGAGAGGTTAACCTTGCCACCGAGGCGGTTGGCAAAGTAGTACTCGGCGATGGCGGGGACCAAATCCAGGATGACGTGGTAGTCGAGGAGGTTATTCGCATAGCTGTCCAGACGCTTCAAGTCGAACGGCGAGAAGGCGGCATCGAGGTCAGCCTTCTTCAGAGTGCGCACAACGGCAGAGGAATCCAGCTTAGCGCCAGAGTTGGCGGACTCGCAGATGCTCAGGGAAAGGACCGAGGGGAATTCGCGGAATTGATAAGAGAGCAAGGCGAGGAAACGGCGGTGGAAGTCGCGAGAGAAGGCGCCCAACCACGCGGCATCGGTGGCACCGGTAGTCAGAGTGCGCAGCATGACGCAGGAGTGTTCGCCAGTCAGCTCGTTAGGAGTCTGGCGCAGGTATACTGGGTTGAAGGAAGACCGCTTCCAGAACTTGTGCAGAGTGGGGGTCAGACCGTAACTGACACCGAGATAGTCCAAAGAATCAGGGCGACGCTCGCTCAGCTTGCCAAACAACGGAGGCATAGAGCGGATATCCCGGACCTGGATATTGTCATCGAGCAGGCTCGAGTTGGCGAGCTCCTCATCCGTGACACGGACCATCTCCTCCTGAGGGCCAGCCATGCCCTCGTCGAGGCTGGTGAACTTGCCCTCGTAGAAGTCGGTAAGGAGCTCCAGGGCACGGGAACCGTAACCCATGCCCACGTACTCGGGGTTCGTAGCGATACGAACGATACGAGCTCCCGAAAGACCGGCAAAGTCCTCATCCTGGAACTGCTGGGACACCAGCCAGGGGATCAGATCACCGCCGGCACGCTGGCCACGGCTCAGGCTGTTGAGGACGCTCTGTCTGCTAATTCGGCCTTCAAGAGCAACCTGAATCACGCAAAGTGGCTCTGGAAGCTTGGTGGCCTCTTCATCAATTGGCGGAACGAGCACATAGAGTTGGTGAGCGGGAGCATCGCTCATGAGCTGAAGATCGTTAGGCGTGTTCTTGTAATGGCTGGCGACGTACAAAGCCATCATCTGTTGCAAGAACTTCTCGGAGACAGGGTGGAAAGAGAAGAGCGTGTCACGGTTGACCTGGAGCAGCTGGCACTTCGATGGGTGAGGGCAGCCTTGAGTGTTCATACGGGACTTCGGCAAAGTGGCATCAAGACACAAAACCTTGTTCAACCACTTCTCAACAGAGTCACCGGGAGCATAACGGATGGGCTCAGAGAGGGTGATTTCGCGAAGCGAACGACCGCCGAGGCCCTTGTCGGTGTTCTTGGAGATCTTGCCGGTGCTGCGGTCGGCAACGTCGGCATCAGCATTCTTGATACCACCGCGAGCCTGCTCACGAAGCTGCTGGATCAGCTTCAAAGAGAGGGATCGGCCAGTTCCCTCATAACCATTGATTGTGGAGGCCATGAACACAAGATAAGGACCCATCAGCTTGCGCACCAGAGGCAATGGAATGGCGGCCGCCTCATCGATGACCAACAGCTCTGCCTGGCCCAGGACATGCGCATCCTGGGGTTGAATGTACTGGATAGTTTGACGGTGGTTGCGGTGGATATTGACGCGCACGATAGCCTTGTTGAAGTCTGGGTTGGTTGATTGGAGGATAGTGTAATCAACGTGGTCAAGGTAGCCCAGAGCATCAAAGCCCTTGAAGACAAACTCGAACAGAGTCTTCAAGTTCTCCGGGCTAGGAGAAGTAATAAAGATGTTGCTGTAGCCATGGGCAATAGCTGCGGCGATGGCAACACCAAGGGCAGCAGACTTTCCTCGTCCACGACCAGCTGTAAGCGCAACCGTGCTCTTCAGGGTCTTCTCAGCAATTGCGTCAACAAATGTGAGGAGAGCCTTGGCCTGGTCAACAGTTCGAGCCAAGCTCAACAGTGGGCCAACGGGTTGCGACTCTGCCAGACTGTCCTTGATTTCCTTCAATTCCTTCTTCGTGCCGGAGCTGGAATCGTCTGTGGATTCGGGAGGAGGGAGGGGCTTGACATTCTTGCCGCCGGAGATGGGCAGCACGTTCAACTCGTCGTCCACAACCAAGCATGAATCGCAGCTTCCTAGAGACAAGATGAAGCGCTCGTTGAAACGGGCAACAACATCATCATGGGCCTCGGTGCGGTACCGGGAGTGAATATCCATGGACAGGGTGTACAGCTGCTTCAAGCTGTTCATGCTCTTCAGCAGCAGTAGAACCATACCACCACCCTCGACGGTCTCGACAGTACGCGCCAGCAAGTTGGGGGTCATAGCCTCAAAGTCCTGCAGAATACACATGCCGTAGGTGTTACCCAGAATCTTTTCCGTTTCCTTGTAGTAGACATAGCGAATCTGGTTCAAGGTGATGAACAATTCGAAGGGATCCTCCTGGTTCGGCTCACGAATACCATGCTTGACCTCCCTCTTGATCTTGTTCTCGCGCTTTTTCCGGTGACTCGTGAAGCCTAGCAAGTCCTTCTTATAAGCCCACAGGACGGACTTGTTTTGCTTCACATCCACGCTGGACATAATGTAGTGAAGATGAACGATCACATCTTTCGCCCGGTCTCCAACAACCACAAAGAAGCTGCGCTTCTTTTCCTGCACACCATTTCGGATGAGGGCCGGGATACGCGAGTCGATCGCTTTGCGCGGCATTTTGAAGATGCGGAGCTGGCCGCGAGAGTCGTCGGGCCCTTAACGCTCGCTATCGGATAATCTGTCGGAAAAAAGGGTAGGTGACCGAGTGCAATTGGGGGGCTTGCAGTTATTTGCCCTTCAATATGTCTCGGCAAATTCCGATATTGTTGATCAGAGAACAAGACGCCGCCGAATTTCTTGTCCCCCAAAAAGGTCCCAAAGAAAAAAAAAATCATATTGCTCGCACACACCGCCTACCGTTTATAGGGGTATCTTCACCGCCTTCCAATGCTTATGTCATGACGAGTGTATAATCACGTGACAGACAAGGGTCTCCTCTTGTCGATGAATGCCCTCATCGGGTAATCAGTCTCCATTCCACATTTCACCTCCTCGCAGTTCCACCATTTATGATTCGAGCGACGCATGCGTCGATTGTTACTCTATTTTCCCCAATTGTCTTCTGCCGGGGGGAAACCGTTGATATTCAGTTTGCCCGCATGAAGGACAAAGTGACGACAGGGTTGACTCGTGTCGCTAGCGCGCGCTTTGACGCTCCAAGTGCGCCAAGTGGAGCGCACGGGAGCCAAGTCTTGATTCTGGCCGCTGATCGGCCCGGCATATCTTGCTTTGTTCAATGCATTCCCCGACGTAAGAATCAAGGGCTTGAGAGCCGGCTCCAAACTGGTCGGACCATTTCCCCAATTTTATTGGCTGGGAAATGTAACGCGCTGAGGAAGGGCCCATGGTTGGGTGCTTGATCAGACTCCAACCGGGTCCGACTGACGCAACTTGATCGCCCGTCTGCTCCAGCGGGTTCCATATCGGTTGCTCTTGATTAGCTACCAGAATGTCACATCCTCACAGCTTGGTTAAAGTCTCTGCTTGTCCATGATCCCTGCATGTCAATCCCCTGAGATCTCCACCGGGACTTTGTCCCGCGTCCAGTTCTTTTCTTCGCTGTGCTCCAGTCTTTCTTCTTTGCGTCTTCACACGTGTGACATACGGTTTACCTTCCTGGCATCCAATTCAATCGCAATGTGGCGCGATGGCTTCTGAAATAGATCGTGCGCAACGATAAGTAATTGGCCGCATAATGGTCCCATTCTCCGCCGATACGGGGCTCAGGGTCTGTGTGGGGTGAGTAGGCTTTTGAGAAAATGCCATGTCCAAGCCCCAATGCCAGACTGAAGAAACAAGTGCTGATGATTGTACTGACTTCAGGGTATTCTTTTTAAGCTCCTTCTTCCTGGTATCTTCTTACAATGCCACATATGCCTTTGGTAAGTTTGGTCTCATCTTCAGCAAAGCCCATCCTGCATCCGCAGACTAACTCCAATGTCTGTAAAGACCGCCCCGTCAGCACGGCTGTTCTGGTATGTTTCCTCCTAGGAATACTCTTGTTAGCGATAGGTCGGTTTGTCCCAGTAGGGTCGCGACCTTCATCGCCGATAGGAAAACGATTCAGCATTCCTACCGACCACTTCGAACTCTCATCGCGGAGCTCGTCTCCGTCCCCAATCTTGGGCTCTCAGGGACCTCCGCCAACTTCAACCCGTTTCTGGCTGAAAGTTGGCCTGTTTTTATGGCTTCTAAGTCTTCGCGTCGAGTTATTCCGCCGAGTTACCCTTCACAATGAGTGTTCTCCTGCCGGATATGCTGTACGAGATTTTCCTATCTTTTTTCTCAAACGGAGTCTCTAACATCTTTCAATCACTTTAGTATGCGATTCCATTCTTGATTTCGCTATATGACTACTGGCGGCACCAGAAACCACGTTCAAGAGCAGGCTACTCTCCGTTGCAACCGTCACAAAATCTGTCTTCCAATGTAGCCTTGTCTCTCTGTCGGCGAGGCTTGCACAACCTTACGCAGAGCCAATTCAGGGGAGTTTTTGCAGCGGCACTGATCTCGATAAGCGGCTATGCGGCTTCGTCACTTCTCGCAGGCAGTCAGTCCACGTATATCTGCCCAATTGTTCTCAGCGGCGCAGCACGTCTACGGGCAATGAAAGTTGCCAGCGTGGTGATTGATACAATACTCCTCATTGTGGTAGCGGAACTCTGCCGAAATGGGACTGGGAATGAAGTTTGTCGAAAAAAGCAAACGTTGGTCTCTATTGGGGCTGGTCTTATGGTAAGCCATAACGTCGGACAGCCTTGATGAACAATCTTTCTGACGGTACATGATAGCTCGTCGCTGTGATCTGGATTATCATTGGGCATTTCGTCCGGAATAGCCGCCCTGAACATAGTGGTCAGCCGTTTTTGGAGGCAAAGTATTCGCGCAGTGCTTTTGGTCAAGCGATTTTGGTCATTATATTTGTGTTATCAAGCTGGCAATTGGTTAGCCCTCCATCAGCTTCCATGTCTCATTGCATAAGTACTGACTTAAGAGTAAGCTAGCGCACTTTGGGATTCTCGGGCTATCCATCTTTGGGGGATTTGTCTTCGTGTTCTTCCCGGCCTTGTCGACTCTTCTCTTCGAGCAGATGCCATTCCCTTACATCTCCCAAGCCCATGCCGCCATTCCTGTCATTGCATCTTCGACGGGCGCAATTTTGTTTCTTCTCTCGAGGATATTGTCAGACGAAGAATCAAAGCCTTTGTATCATACCAACATTGTGCTACAGATCCTATTCTTTCTCATTGGTGGGGTTGGCCTAGCCTTTGCCATGACCAAGCATCATTTCTCCCACACCCACCCGATTGATCTCCTCATTCACAAGGCCACTCTTCACTATGACAACTATCTTCTGCAAGCGAGCGCCAGCAAGAGCCTGACTGAAGCTGCCCAAGAGTATCGGAAGAGGTATCGCCAGCACCCGCCACCTGGATTCGACAAGTGGTTTGAATATGCCACAAACCATTCTTCAGTAATCATCGATGAATTCGACCAAATTCATGAAAATCTTCTCCCATTCAGAGCCATCAGCCCTGCGGAGATCCGTGACATGACACATCAGTTAGCAACAAACCCCTTCAATGATCTTGGAGCTATCAGCATTCGCATGGGCCAGGTCAAGGTTCAAGAGGGAACCAAACCAACTCATGCGTGGATGATCAAGGGAGCGGCTGAAATGATCGAAAAATTTGCTCAACATCTGCCAGATATGGACCTTGTTTTCAATTTGAATGATGAGCCCCGAGTTGCGGTTCCTTGGGAGAAGATGTTGCTGTTGAAACAGGCGGCGTGGGCAAATGAACCTCTCCCTCGAGAAGAATTATTAGACCGGTGGTCGAAAGACAGACATATTGGCTGGGCTCCAGTTGAACCGGCTGACCAAACCAATGCGACTCTCTTTACCGACGGTGCCTGGAGAGGGGTTTTTGATCCCTATGTCAGTGCGGTCTGCCCGCCCTCATCCCGTGTGCGTACGCGACGTGTCTGGAACCGACATGATATCTGCCTAAGCTGTGCAGCGCCGCATACTATGGGCCAATTCCCATTGGACTTCAATCTCGCCACAGAAATATGCCATCAACCCGATCTCGCCTTTCTTCACGGCCTCTTGATATCGCCTGCATCATTCAAGGTGTCCCAGGAGTTGATCCCGGTCTTTAGCCAAAGTGCGCTTACTGGATTCAGCGACATTCTCTTCCCTAGTCCTTGGAACTACATGGACAAGATTAAGTATAAGCCATCAAAGGAGCATCCGGACCCAGAGTATTCGCAAAAAGACAACTCTTTGTATTGGGTTGGCAGTACATCCGAAGGCTACAGCCGCTTTAACGAGTGGAAGGGCATGCCGCGGCAACGATTCTCACACCTGATCAACAACAACACCCATAGCCAAGTCTCCGTGCTCTTACCCTCAGGCCATGGCCTCTATCAATATAAGATCATGGGTGGATCTGCTCCGACCACAGAACTCGGCCTGCGCACGGATGTGCACATAGCCGACCCAATTACTCGCTGTGGTGATTGTGATACGCAGCGTGATGAATTAGGAACCCGCTCCTGGGCTGACTTCCAGGCACATTGGTCCCACCGGTTCTTGTTTGATCTTGATGGAGCAGGATTTAGTGGCCGTTTCCTCCCATTCCTTCAGAGTCATAGTCTTCCTTTGAGAACCGGTCTCTTTCGGCAATGGTTTGACTCGCGAGTCATCTCTTGGCTGCACTTTGTGCCCGTCGACATTCGTCTTCATGGACTTTGGAGTACGTTGGCGTATTTTGCTGGTGTTCCTAATCCCAACGCCAATGACCGTGACTCCAAAAACTCTCCAATGCTCATGGATCCGCATTCCAACGAAGGCTGGTGGATCGCTGAGCAAGGGCGCAAGTGGAGCGAGATCGCACTTCGCAAGGAGGATATGGAAATTTATTTCTTCCGGCTGTTACTCGAATGGGGTCGTCTTACCGATGACCAGAGGGATGTGCTTGGGTACAAGTCGTGAGGGGAATAGCACTCCGAATTGTATGTACTTAGATTAATTTTAGTAGATAAGGCTTATGATTTCGACGAAATATGCAGCACGCACCGTGCACTCTGATCCCAATCTGGATATTGGAGATCCTGCTGATCTTTCGCAGGATCACTTCTAGAATATATGTTCTTACGACTGCAGGGTTGTAGTTATTGCTTTGGCATCGGATAATTCGACTCAAAGAGAGGAATACTGTTTTTCTATTTCAATGCACATGCAATGGCCATGCAAATGAATGCGTTTGTGAACGAGTGTCAAGGGGTATCTAAAAGATCAACAACACATCATCGCCCCAAATCCACCATGAGAAATCAGCAGAAAGAAATCGCAGACGGTCTGCAAAACAGACAATATGGATAAGACCAAGAAAAGCCCAGATGAAGACGAGACGAATAAAAAAGAAGAACAAGAGGATCACAAAAAATTCACCAAAAACACCAAAGTGGAATCACAGATTCCCTTCTCCCGAGTAGATACAGTCAGATGAAACCAGTTCATCTAAGCATGACCATGCTTGTATTGCCCACGGCGGTGCTTCCAGGCCGGACGGGGCGCGGGCCGGACGTACGGCGCAGAGCGGCCCGACTTGTTTTCACCAACAGCCTCGTGCTCGCGGGCATGCACAGCGGCATGTGAGTGTGATTTGCTCTTAGAGCTGCTACTTTCTTGATAGACCTTGAGCGAGTTGATGCGCCAGTATGTCTCGGTGAAGGCGGAGGGATTGTTCTGGACGTAGGAGTTGCAGGTGTCAGCCTTGGAGGCACAAGTACTAGATGACCAGACGTTGCCGGCCCAATCACCGCAGAAGGTGATATCGAAGACCTGGATATGGGATGTTAGTGGGTATTCCTTTCCAATCAAAAAAGGGCGAAATCAATAAAGAGGAGTTAAAGGCATACAATTTGCAGATTCTTGAAGTGTGAATCAATATCGCAGCTTCCGGAGAACGCGGCAGTAGGGGTACCCCAGCCTGAAGGGTTGGGGCTGCCACTGGTAATGTCCGAGGGGATGCTGGACTTTGAGAAGAACCAGATTTTGATGCCAGAAGACGTCCATTCGGTAGCATAAACACCGCCGTTGGCGTTGTTGAAGCCGTCGCCGTAGGACTGGGAGCTGGAGCTGAGGATGGCGCAGCCAGCGTTGGCAGATTGACCCGAGGCCTCAACGTAGCAGTTGCTTGTCTCGAGGTTACCGCTGAAGCCGGAGTTGGTAATAGAGCAGCCATCGCTGGTGTGTAGGGTCATCTGGTTGTTGGTTTGGGTGTTGACGCCTTCGATAATGTCGATTTCGCCGTTGCTAGGCCAGTCCGAACCGAGCATCCAGCTAGTTATCGTTAGTCTCTTCTTTCGGTTTCGAGTAGAGATCGGAATGGAAGGCAGATTGACTTACAAGGCAGGCCAAGTGCCGCAAACGCTGCCAGGCATGTGCTCCAAATCCAGAATCACCAGGCCATGTGTGTAGGTGTTGGTGCTCGCCAGGCGAACACTCTGACGGCCTGGGCTACTAGCAGTGTTCTTAGTGTCAACACCAATGTACACCGAGTCACCCGAAGTACTGATGAGACCACCACTGCTAGCAGTTGAACGGTCGACGTAGCTCACGTAGCCGTTGGTGGGGTCCGAGCTCTATCGATTGTCGAGTCAGTCTTTGGTGTAACACTTCGCGATTTTATATTAGTCCAACATACGGTGTAAAAGTTGAACTTGTCAAAGAACGAGTCAGTGGTGCCATAGTCGTCCTGCAACGTATAGCCAGCGGCAATGAGGGGGGCAAACAATCCCAGGCCTGAAATGAGTGTGGAGAGGACGTGCATTGTTTCCTTGTGCTAAATATATCGAGATCGAAGAGAAGAGAAGGAGTAGACGCAGCCTATCAAAGACGAGCAGTCCTATGTAGATCGGATGCTAGTACTAAGCAAGCAATCCCAAAAATGAATGAATAAAAAAGACCAAAAAGAAGGCGATCAACTACCCTTGAGGGAAGGAAGGGAAAGTAGATCTAAAAAAGAAAGGAATGAAAAGCGAAGTATACAGCACTTTGGGAAGTAAAAGGAAGGACTAGGCACCAATGGCAGAAACAAAAATTCCCGACACGAACGGGAGGGCGAACTGTCAATCTTTTATATAGGGCAAAGTAATAAAGAATTGACAAGGCACAAGGCACAAGGTACAAGAAGCCCTCCGCGTGGCGGCAACGCAACGGAGGCCCTGATCCCTGGGCCCTGAGTGTGCATCCACCCGACCCGATCTTGAGACTAGAAGTGGGACATGCATGACAGGACCACACCCTGGGACGGGATCCATGTGAGAGATTGAAACGAGGAGCGCGGAGAAGGCTTCCCTCTGCGGCAAGAGGGGAGCCGAAAAAAAATTTGTACAATATTTCCAGAAAACGAGGAATCCCTGCACCGAACGCTGGGTCCCGAGAACCAGATAGGATGAGTCCTTATCCACACGACCAAGCAAAAAAAAAAAAGGTATGCAGGAGGCCACGTTATCAGGGCTCGCAAGTCCAAAGGGCCGTGGAAAAGATAGCCACTGGTTGGATCTCCAACGGTCTGCGTGGAGCCCGGAACCGAACATCAAAGCGATCCACGACGGGGAGGAGAGGGGTTCTAGTCTCGACAGACCGACCGAGTGAGCCTCTCAGCTTTGCCCATTGCTGCCAGTTTTGCCCTCCCTCCGAGTCCTTAAGTCTGGTACGAACCGACCGCCCTGGGGGATCGTTGATGAATGTGGGTTGCGGATCATCTGCGCGGATCGACTATCCACGCAGCAAACTCATGCATCAGATGGTAGGGACACGCCACCTCCTGTGATGGAGGGCATGGGCATGAACTTCCGTTGGTTGGCAGACTCGTAGAGAGAGAGCCGTTGATTCGGGGCATTCCAGTCTCTCGGTCTGGCACTTCTTTTCCGTGGCTTCTACTGTTCAATCTGAATGTGGTTAGCCAGGAACCACTTCTCGAGAAAAAGACCTCCCCAGTGCCTGATACAGGTCTTGTACCTCAAAACCCACTAAGCAAGCTTAAACCCTCCATCCCCAACCCCTCCTAGTTTCAGATTCAAGCACACAAAGTTTGCACTTATTCGCCTGGGTGTTTCGGAAGTACAGGGCGATCATTGCTCTGCGGCTGCTGACTCGCTCGTGCCGCAACGACGGAAATGGAAGAAGCTGGTGCCGAGCGCATGAAGATTCTTGCAACGCCATCTCACTGGCTGGGAGGCGATGCGGGCAATCTGCCACTGTCTGGCTCCTAGGCCTTCGGGCCTCTCGGGTCGCTCATCTGGCTCGGTCTGCCGCTGGGAAGTCGTCGATCCCTGGTCCTAGCCACTTCGGGCTCGTCACTGGTTGGGCTCAGCTGCGAGGCTGATCCAATCACGCCCGTCCATCGCGGTGGCAAGGCATGGATCCACCAATCGTTCCGCGAGGTTGCGCTCCCATTTAAGCTTTTCTTTCCTTTCGATTTTTGATTTTAGGATTGCTGGTCTCAAATGTGTCCTAGTCGTGTGGTCGTCGAGGGGTCAGGTCCAGTTTTCCATGGTTGATGAGAAGGAGGTCGGTGTATGGAAAATGCGGCAACACGAAAAAGCTGATCGGAACTGGGCCGATTTGCCCGTTCGGAAAATAATCTAGACTACGGATGCTTGGTCAGTCTCTTGTTAGAGAAAAAGATTCAAATTTTGCTGAAAATAGTCTTCCAGAAAGCCAGCCTATTCAGCCTGTCATTCCGTGGCTCTTTGCCCTATCTGCTACTTGATATGTGCCATGTATCTCTATTGCTACGCACCCAGTCCTTTACTATAATACCTTGGAACCCCTTCCAACACTAAAAGTAAACTATCCCACATCCGCTACGGACTATTACCCTACTCGCCCACCGACAAGCACGATGATCGCGCAATATCCCGACACGCGGCGAGAGCTGCCGAAGTATCAGGAGTACAGAGGGTCACATCTGATGGTCTCGCCGATATCTCCGGTCTCTTCATATTCCCAGTTCGTACAATGCCCTAGCTGATCACCTTCAGCATGGGGCCCAAAAGGAGATCTAGAATCCTGCGATGCGACCCCACACGGACGATGAGCACGCTACTGTACTTAATATGCGACGAGGCAGGCGATCTCGGGGCGCATTTGGTCAGGGAGGGAATATCCGCGGGGAAGGATATAGTCATTTCCTTCTTTCCGCGCCCCCTGTAGAACTAACTAACGTGATCACACCCTATACATAGTCTAGCCAGGGGTATTGAGGACAGGTATCCCGGTCTATGTCGTATGCGCCTTCGGCATTTCGGGCATGAGACTGGATCAGGGGGGGGGGCTTATTTGGACAACTGTTCACGGTAGGTGACTACGAGGCCCTAAAACAGGTTATGGGAGCATCGGTATGGATCATCAATCATATGTGACGGGCCATTCCAAGAACAGAACAGAAAGAACTCCACCGGTCTAAACGAAGGCTTACGGGGAGGAAATAAACGGACGGTTCATCATCGGGCTCTCTACTGGTTTGGCTTAAAGAGATGATTTGATTCAACCCTATGGGAAATGAACTATATGACACATCCATCCCACGCACAACATGCCACCTATATAGATCTTGTTCCCAACAGATGAAAAAAAAAGGGGGGGGAGGGGATGGGGGGATAAGTAGAGTCACAAAAAAAAGGAAAAGGAGTAGAAGGATGCGCTATCGTCACTATGTACAAGCCGGACAAAACAGTTCAGCAACCGGCCAGTCGGGATGCTCGCGTCGGGAGACCGAGTCATGTTCATGTGCACCCGTGGGTCGATGAAGTCCACTAATGGCATCCAAAACACATTGTCGATGATAGAGATGTCGGCAGGAAAATACCACGACGGGCTCAGTGGGATGACCTTCCCCATCTTCCCCAGTCCCCGATCCAGCCAATGCATGGGGCCCACGGCCGACCGGGTGAGGCATGGCAGCAGCTTTGCCCTTCCCCCGCTCAGACGCAGGGTCGTAGCTTTCTTCAAGACGCCTTATGATGCGACGCTGGTGCTCATCAATT